AACCATAGTATCATAACCAGCTTCTGAGGAACTCTGTAAAATCTTCTCAACAGTCAGTGAACCTGCGTTCTTAGCAATGGTCATTGCAGGAGTCTTGAGTATTCTTTTAATAATGTCTATGCCAATTTTCTGATCTTCATTAGCAGGTGTTAATGAGTCTAAGGCTGAAATGCACTGAAGCAGAGCACAACTCCCTCCCAGAACAATGCCTTCATCAACAGCAGCTCGTGTAGCATTGAGGTCATCTGTAACTCGGTCTTCTTTTCATTCACGTCAACATCACTTGTCCCACCAACTTTTAGCACAGCCACACCATCTGAGAGTTTTGCCAAGCATTCATTCAGTTTTTCCTTTTCATATTCACTGGTTGTAATATCCAACTGCTTGATGATTTCTTGATTACGTTTTTCAGTTTGAGCCTTGTCACCTTTTTCTTTCAAGAGCATGGCATCATCTTTGGTTCCAATGACCTCTCCAACTTTTCCTAAGTCATGCGGCTGAACATCCTCAAGATTCATAGTTCTTCAAATACAGCGCCACCAGTAGCAATAGCCATATCTTTAAGCTGGTTCTTCCTGTTGACGCCAAAACCTGGAGCTTTGACTGCTACAACTTGAAGACCCACTTTAACCTATTTAAAACAAGTGTACTCAAAGCTTCTCCATCAACATCTTCAGCAATTATGACCAAGGGCTTCCAGTGAGCATTGGCAATTTCAAGAGCAGGTACAATGGACTGAATGCTAGAAATTTTGTTTCCACTTAGCAGAACATAGGCATCTTGGAATTCACATTTCTGACCTTTTGAAGTATTAATAAAATACAGCGAACTATAATCTCGATCAAACTTCATCCCTTCAATAATTTCTCATTCATCACTCAGCGTTTTTCTATCCTTTACTGTTATGGCACCCTTCCTTCCAGCTTTCTTCATTACATCAGAAATGATGGTGCCAATTTCTTTGTCTCCATTAGCAGAAATAGTAGCAACCTGAGCAATTTCTTCAGGAGTTGTCCCTGGTTTAGACTGCTTTTTAAGTTCAGCAATTACTGCATCTATAGCTAGCATCACACCTCTTCTGATTTCCACCAGATTAGCACCTTTGCTAATGTTTTCGAAGCCCTCCTTGACAATTGACCATGCCAATACAGTAGCAGTAGTGGTACCATCCCTGCTTCTTCATTTGTTATTGGCAACATCTTGAACAAGTTTGGCATCAGTATTTTTATAGTTATCCTTTAAATCAATGGACTTAGCAACAGTCACAGTGTCTTTGGTTACTTTGTGACTTCCCCACCTCTTTTCAGTAATCACTGTTCTTCCCTTTGGCCCCATAGTAACAGCTACGACATCAGCTAAAAGGTCTATACCTTGATGCACTAAGGTCTGGGCATCTGCACCAAATTTGACATCTTTGGCATAGGCCTGAGTGAGATGAGGTGCCAGTGGCCTGGACACTGGTCTGATCTGGAGAAGGACTGCTATAATCGAAGTATTTCTGTGGGGCGGTGGCAAGGCAGGCCGTTGGCGGCGGGTGAGGGAGTACGCTGCATTTAAATGAAAATCTCCACATCAGGTAGATGTGTGGTGAATACTTTTGTCTTTTTTGCCTGTTAGAACTTGAATGGTTAAATTAAAAATAACATTCAAAATAAGAAAGGTCAAGTTAAAGAATAGAAAGATGGAAAGATAACATGAAATAAACTTGTTATATGTCTGCCAAGGGGACAGGTGAGGAGGTGGGAGAGAACCCAGGGACATTGGTGGATGGAAAGGGACATTGTGGTAGGATTGGTGTTGGAACATTGCATATCAGATATAACCTTATTGTGAACGGCTCTGTAAATCACATTGTCTTGAAAACAGATATAAGGAAAATTAAGAGTAGAAAGGGGAATTTTGTAGAAGTACTGACAGTGTACTTTTTTGTGCTGTTTATCAGATAACCACAAACTTTGTGATTTCAAGGATTTCACAAGGCAGTAAATTACTGTGTGGTCTTGAAAGAACAAAAATTTCATGGTAACTTTGGTTTGGAGCCCAGGAACACCTTAACCAGATATGCTGCAAAGCTTTCTCATCAAGGTGTCAACCAGATGTTCCCACCCGGATGCAGAATCCGTTTCTTGCTGCTGTAGTGTTCTTGACTGAGGGCCTCTTAGAACAGCAGCGTGGGTAGGGTTCTTGCTGAGCACACAGTTTGACCTGGGTTCAGTCCTTCTCTGCGCCCTACCAAGTGTAGAGCCAGACAGCAGAGAGCCCTGAGCACTAGCAGGTGTGGGTCCCCAAACAAAGCAGGAAACAAAGCCAACTGTGGGGCTAGGAATACAGGAGGTAAGGCCCCGGCCTTGATCGGTACCAACCCTGTTTCAAATCCCCATAGCACATGCAGTTGCGGAATCATAGCCCCACTCTCTATCCCTGAGTACAGAAGGCAGGGTGCTTTCCTTTCGAGCAGCCCGCCTGCGTTTGATCCCTGGCACCCCATGGGGTCCCCTGCAGCTTCTAATACTGATGCCAGAGCACAGAGCCATGAGTAAGTCCTGAGCACTGCCGGGTGTGACACCCAAACTAAAAACAGTCAAACAAAAGGCCAGGAACTAGAGATTAGCTCAGTATAGAGTGCATGCATGCTTTGTATGTAATAGATCCTGGGTTCAACCCTGACACCAAAAGTTTAAAAAGGAAAGAAAAAGACAATTAGTATAGAGCTAGTAAGATACACAGATATAAATGCCAGAGTGATTCATCTTTGTAGTATTATTTTGGTCAGAGGCAAAGTCACAAGTCCTACCCACACTTAAGTGAAGCTGAAATATTATGCAGAAGTATTAAGTATTAATCTGTCAGTGTCCTCCCGTTGTTCATCTATTTGCTCGAGCGGGCCCAGTAACGTCTCCATTGGAGACTTTGTTGTTACTGTGTCTGGCATATCTAACACGTCACGGGGAGCTTGCCAGGCTCTGCCGTGCGGGCGAGATACTCTCGGTAGCTTGCCGGGCTCTCCGAGAGGGACGGAGGAATCGAACTCGGGTCAGCCGTGTTGGCTGCGTGCAAGGCAAACGCCCTACCCACTGTGCTATCGCTCCAGCCCAAAAATTGTGTTTTATATTGTTGGCTCTTAGTTAACAGGTAGCTAAGTATTAAATTTAACAAGTATAGATAGTGTTCGAACTCAGGTCGGCCATGTTGGCCGCTTGTAAGGCGAACGCCCTACCGCTGTGCTATCGCTCCAGCCCTAAGTATTAATGAAACCACATTAAAGTGGATCAATCAAACCAATCAAAAGAAGAGATTTCAAAGAATATAAAATTATTGGGAATAAAATAGGCTGTACATTAAGAATTATAAGAGGGTGGAATTCATGCCCAATTCAATCAGCTAATCAGTGGCTGAATAAATAGCAGTACTCCTGCATAAATATATGTGTGTGTGTGTGTGTGTATATATTTATATATATATATATATTTCTATACCCAGAGATATATGCCATGCTAGGGCTTGCACCCAGGTTGACCACACGTGAGGCAAACTCCTGACCCACTATACTCTCTCCAGCCCCAATAGGCCGGTAAGCTAAATAGGGCTTTATACAAATAATTCTTGCTACATTTAAGATGTTATCTACAGTATGATTCTATAGGACATTTTTCACTTTAAGTACTTAGTGACTTGTTTCCTGGACACAGTATGAGGACCCAGTTTGTCTGCCTCACGAACTTTCATCACTGTCATTTCAGAATGAAGAAGCTCTGAGGTTCACAGGCTGAAGCAACCTGTGGAGAGCACGTAGGCCTGTGTTATATACTAACGTCCAAATGAAACACAGAGGCAAAAATGCGTGTGACAGTTATGCAAAGGTTAAAATTCTCGAAGCTGTTTCCAGAGGGGAAGCTTCGTTCACCGTGTTGCTCTCCTGCTCGGTGCAGCTCGCACAGGGGGCTATTCCACAGCCTGACGTCAGTCTGGGGTGAGGCTGACCAGGAGCTGGCGGAGTGAGCAGAGAGCCCATCCAGAGCACCTGCCTGCAGAAAGGGTCTGTCCGAAGAGATACATGGCATGCTAAACAAGACAGATTCTCCTGAGAGTCTCAAGAAACTTATGGAATTCTTCTGATCACATTTAAAATTAAAAACTGAGAGGGAGAAAACTTTTGTATATATTTATGGAGAGAATGATTATGGTTGAGTTCAAATTAGTTGTCTGGAAAACTTAAGTAGAATAGCATATTAAAACAAAAATTATACTCAGAAAGGAAAAAACAAATGGGAAATAGATGGAAAAACTGAATGAAGGAGAATTCCTCTGGTTAAAGGAGGTTGTGAGATGAAGAACAAGGTGCTTATAAAGGAAAAATATTGACAAGCCGTATACCTCTTCTGAAAGCTAGAAATTAATAAAATAACATCTGTATACTCCTGAGAAAGTAACTACCTATTTATACATAGCTAAAATATTAGTCATTATGGCAGAAGCAAGATACTTATAAATTTATAGTAATTCAGGTTCTTGGTTTAAGGAAAGTGCTCAGTAAAGTACTCCTACCGAAAGATAAAATAGGGCAGAAGGTCTGGGTCTTTGCCTTAAATGCAGACCTGGATTTGACCCCTGACTCCATATGGTCCCCCAAGCTTCACCAGAACTGATCGTTGTGGCCTAAAATCTGATAAAATTCATTGACTTATTTAAGAGGGTATAAGATAGAAAATAGTAGTGAGCAAATGAATCTCTGTTCAGTTTCAGTGGATAATGAAACTGTGTCTCATCACATTTCTTTGTCTTGTCATATCTCGAAAACTTGTATTTGATCCAAAAGCTTGATTAGATTCAGGTTCCATCCCTTTAGTAATGTTTTGTTCTGGTATGATGCATAGAATTCTAGATTATCTTTTTGTAAAAATAAAAGCAATGGTCTGAAGAGTTCAAACAATCATGATACCTGCTTATTTGAAATTCCACTAAATTCTGAGTGTTGGTTTTTAATTTGTTTATTCTTTCAGATTTATCACGAAATCGCCTCTCAGAAATTCCCATAGAAGCATGTCACTTTGTCTCCCTGGAGAATCTCAATTTATACCAAAATTGTATTCGGAATATACCAGAAGCAATTCTAAACCTGCAAGCGCTAACATTCTTAAATATTAGGTAAGGATATTGGTTTTTTTTATTTTTTGCTTTGTTCATTTGAGTTTTGTTTGTTTGCTTGGGGTCTGTGGTTCTTAAGTTCCAGCTCCCAGTGGAGCTCGGGGACCACGGGGCTTCAACCCATACCTCCTGCATCCAAAGCATGCATTCAGCAGTTGAGTTATCTCTCCAGAGCCTTTTTTGTGGTTTTGGGGTATTTCCCTCTTCCAGTAAAATCTACATTATCTGTTCATATCAACGATATATGGATTTGGGTGTTTGCCTTGCGCACAGCCAGCCCGGCCGAGCCGGGTTCGATTCCTCCGCCCCTCTCGGAGAGCCCGGCAAGCTACCGAGAGTATGCAGTATGCCAAACACAGTAACAAGAAGTCTCACAATGGAGACGTTACTGGGCCCGCTTGAGCAAATCGATGAACAACGGGAGGACAGACAGACAGAATGGATTTGGGGGCTAGAACGATAATACAGCAGGCATGGCATTTGCCTTGCACGTGGGCAACCCGGGGCACCCCATATGATCCCCCAGCACCATATGTAACCCCTGAGCATCGCCACTGTGCCCCAGAAAAGCTAAAAACAAACAAAACAGAAAACAGAACAGCATACATGTTTAGACTATATTAACAGAATTTTTCTGTGTCTCAATAGTTTCTTCGTTTGTCTTTGTATTTGCAGTAAGTAACAAATCCCACTGATCTTTAACTTAATGTGCTTGTAGCAGTGGTACTACCTATTAAAATAAACTTCATTGAGGAGAAATAAATCTGAAATTATGTGGTTTGATCATTGTGATTAGGTATTTTTGTATATTGTATTTACTCAGCTTATCTATTTTCACATCTTACAAGAACTCTTCTTAAAATTTCATTGTAAAAGTTAATAAATGTCCAACTAGGAAAATATAAATGTTGTAAAACATTTAACACCAGAATGTTTTGTCTGAGTTATGTAATTATGAATGATCTCCTTCGTTTTTGTCAGCCTTTCAGGATTTGTGTTTTCTTGACTGGTTGTTTTGTTCGGGCCATCCCTGGGAGTCCTCCGAAGCCACTCCGGCTCTCAGTGGTCCTGTCAGGGCGTGTGGTGCTGGGATGGTCTCTGGTGTCTATATGCAGAGCAGTCCAAGGAAGCTGTCTGCTGTCATTTTGTTTTTGTTTGTTTGGGACACTGTGGCATCGTTCAGCGGCTACTCTCAATTCTGTGCTCAGTGATCACCCCCAAAAGTGCTCTGGGGACCATGCAATGCTAGGGATTAAGCTTTGAGGGTTTTTCCTTCGTCGTCTTTGCTGTCTTGCTGGCCTGGTTTAGTTTTGTTTTGCTTTTTAGGTCTTTAGACTGAGCTTAGGCCCTAACCCCTAGGACTTGGTCCTGCTCTGTACTAAGGAATCCCTCCTAGAGCTCAGGAATCAAACCCAGGTTGGGGATTGAAAGCGGGTCAGCTGCATGCCTGGCAAGCGTCCTTCCCACAGTGCTGTCTCACTCGCCTCTGCAGTGTTCGGGGGCTACTGGCATTGTTAGGGGCTGAACATGGAACATACAGTGTTGGGATCAAACCCAGGGCCTTAAGTATGCAAAATTTGTGCTTCACCACTTGAGTCATATCCCTGATGTTTATTTATCTTAAGATCTAGGAATAGGTTTTTATTATATTCAAAAGTTTTAAAGGCTCAGCAAGAAAAGGTTTTGAAAGTAGAGAGGAAATTGACTCAATGGACTGAGTTAACTATATAAAGAAAATTTTAAGATGTTTTTGTCCTAAGAATATTTGTGTCTGTCCATACATATGTGTGTGTGTATATATATGTGTGTGTGTCTGTGTGTGTGTGTGTGTGTGTATATATAGCTTTAGTACTTTTAGTTTTGATTTGCATCTTCATTGTATAAATAAAAATTTATTGCTACCCCAGTTGCTGTGATTATTTAAATTTTCAGCCTGTCACTTATATTTCATAGAAGTATGTTAGCATCATGTAGGTATATTTGGCTATAGTATTGTAATAAAGTCACAGTCAGTCACAGTCCTCCCGTTGTTCATCGATTTTCTCGAGCGGGTCCAGTAACGTCTCCATTGTGAGACTTTTTGTTACTGTATTTGGCATATCGAATACATCATGGGTAGCTTGCCAGGCTTTGCCGAGCAGGCGAGATACTCTCGGTAGCTTGCCGGGCTCTCCGAGAGGGGCGGAGGAATCGAACTCGGGTCAGCCATGTTGGCTGTGTGCAAGGCAAATGCCCTACCGCTGTGCTATCGCTCTAGCCCATTGTAATAAAATAGATTACAAATACTCTTATAAGTCTTCCTTTTTAAAGATTCTTTTTTTGGATTTTGAGCCACACCCAGTGATGCTCAGGGCTTACTCCTGGCTCTGTGCTCAGGGGTCACTTCTGATGGGGGTCAGGGAACCTAGGGGTGGTGGAGATCAAACCTGGGTTGACACCACACACTTCCAGGAAGGGCCCTTTTTGTTCCAACCCTCTGAGCTGTCTTCTCTGGCCCTCACTATCCAATTTTTTAACTATATTTTTTTACTAAAATAATGTGTTTTCATAGTATTTCATTATTCATAAAGGTGTTTTATGACTCAAGAGCTCTATTAAATAAAATCTGGTTTTAAAATCCTTAAGTTGTTAGAGATATAGATGTTTAATGTGCACAGGATACAGATAAATTCAGTGCGTTGCCTAAAACAAAGATTGTCAGTGGGGCACGAAGGTTAGAACTCTAATTTTGCTGTTTGTTCCGGGAATGACTATTTTGCTTTCCTGTATAGAACGTGAAAAAGGGTAAGTTTCTTCAGTGGTGTTCCTTGACACTTTTCTTTTTATACTTACTCGTTTAGTCGGAACCAGCTATCAACATTGCCAATACACTTGTGTAATTTACCATTGAAAGTCTTAATTGCTAGCAATAACAAATTGGTCTCACTTCCAGAAGAAATTGGTCATCTCAGGTATTTAACAGAACTTGTAAGTTAAAGTTTTTTTTTTTTGCCCAGTGCATATCATACCTTTATATGTTATGAATCTGTACTTATGAGTTATTTGCATTTAATGATAATGTTCTTACATTGATCAATATTGAAAGTGATTGAATACAGAATTAAGAAAACTGAAATTCAAACTAATTGCCTCCATGATATAGAAAGGAATATTTAAAACTAGGTTCTTGCCAATATTTGGTCGTTTCTGTATTATTAAATCTTTGATATGTAAGTTAGTATGTGTAATTTTCACATGAAATTGTATTAATAGCGTCAATATGCTGATTTTTAGTTATGTCATACACTGAAATTTGCACTACAAGTGTCATACTTGTTTTTTCTTACATGCTATCTTTAGAACTTGCTTCTACTCTAAAGTAAGCTATTCTGTTACTGCTTAATGTTTTCTAAGAAGTATAATGTTTACCCTCACTCCTTATTACTTTTGAGTTACTTACTACTGAGCATGGAATAAGACTTTTTAATTACCACAGTGACATTATAAGTTAGGTATTATTATTATTATTATTACCATCATCATATTACAGCTGAAGAAAGTAGCATTCTGGCAAGTGACTTTGTCCATGATCCAAGTAGAATCTGAAACCAGACTACCTTAACTCAGAGTCCACATTTCTGTTTGTGAAATGGTGAAAAACAAGTATAACCATTGAGATTTGGGGATATAGTTTTATATCAATTTATCAACAAATATGGGCATTGTAAACAAATTTATTTAATAGTTCACATATTAACCCCCATTTTAGGTGTATCATGAATGTAAATAAAGGTCGTGTGAAAATTCACAAATATGTTAAATCTAGAGTCTAGATATAGACTACTGTTTTCAGAAAATAGGTTAGTAGCAATTATACTTATGGTTTAAATTCTAATTTTTAAATGATTTTCACTTTCCGTTTCTGCTTATTGAATCTGTAATTCTTAAAGATGGAGTCATCTCAGCTAGAGAGGTGGTTCAAAAGACTGGAGGACCCCAAATTGGACCCGTGGCCCCTGGGAGCCACATATCACACACCAGCCAGTCCAACCCAGGGAGCCCTCTTGCCTTTCTTGCATGAGCGACCCTTCCCTCAATTAATTAACTTACATGGGGGTGGGGGGTGTACTCCCAGAAGCTGCTTTTAGCTTTCTGTCAATACTCTGTTACTCTCAGTCTAAGTGCTTGTGCTGGGTCCCCCTCCTGACTCCCCTCAAATGGTCTCACTACAACATCCTATTGTCTGCTCTTCCCTTCATGTTAAAGTGAATGCTCACTGTTGTCCTCCAGCAGGAAGTGGTTAAATGCCAGCTGCTTCTGCTCAATTATCCTTTCAGCTTTTTCTTAGAACTCTTTAACTTTGATGTCTTGAGCATTTGATTGGGAAGTTGAGTTTCTGATTCTACTGAAGTCATTTATTGGTCAATTGGTTAAAAAAGTAAAAAAAAAATATTTCTTTAAATATTATGAGAAAATTTTAATGTCAGGCTTAATGATTTTTTTTTTTTTTTTTGCTTTTTGGGTCACACCCGGCAATGCACAGGGGTTACTCCTGGCTCTGCACTCAGAAATCACTCCTGGCAGTGCTCAGGGGACCATATGGGATGCTGGGAATCGAACCTGGGTCGTCCGCTGCAAGGCAAACAAACGCCCTACCGGCTGTGCTATCTCTCCAGCCCCATAATGAAATTTTTGATGTGTAGTTTTTTAATATCTTTTAACGTTTATTTTTTATTTTAGAGGAATTTTAAGTATTTATCTAGCATCTTGAAGCTTTTATTTATTTTTTAATATGGGCCCAGGGCCATACTTGGCAGTGGTCAGGAGTGATAGTTGGGGTTCCAAGGAAGGCAGGCTTCGAGTAAGGCCCCGCCCCTGGCCCTCCTGGAGCTTTGATTAACTTACATAGCTGCCATCTGCTACACATGATTTAAACTTTGTTTTCAGGATTAGTCTCAGAATCAGTGAAAATCTGAAGCCTGATTTTCTCAATCTTGAAAAGTGTAGTCTCTTTATAGAACCATTGGAACCATCCTATTAAGATACTGAGAGGCCTGAAATATTTATTGAAATAGATCAGTCCAAGTAGTAACGGAAATATTTTTTTCAAGAGTCTTGAACTAAATTCTCTGTACTTCAACTGGTATTTCGAAAATAGATTTTTGAATTTGGGGGCTCCGGGGCCCCAGAATGTTGTTCTGGAAGCCAGGTTTCTCTTGGCGGTTCCCAGTAGCCCGACCAGTGGCCCATGCCTCAGGATGCCATGCCAGGGTCTTCGGGGAGACCTTTAGTGTCGGATCTGGCCTTGCTCTGGAGCCCAGGAATGAAGCAGAGTCATTGCCTATGGGACAAGTGTCTTAACTCGTGTGTTTACTTCTCTGACTCCTTCAAATAATTTTACAGTTAAAATTTTTTTATCATTGTTTTTTCTTGTAGTTTCATTGTCCCTAAATCTCTCTTTATGCTTCTGTTTTACCTTTCACCAACATTTTCATTTGAGCTGACATCCTATACATCTTATCTACATCATAACTCATTTAATTTTAGTTATGGTTACAAAATTAATATAGCTTTTTAATAAATGTGCACAATTAAAAACCTATGAATTTCTATTTAAAAACCTAAAAATTAAATGCTAGTTCAAAGTATGAATGTGTGTGTGTGTGTGTGTGTGTGTGTGTGTGTGTGTGTGTGCAACCAGGAGAGAGGAGAGGAAATAGAATGATTTTGTCAGATTTCATTTTATAATTTTATAGCTGTGTTAAAGCTAGGGGGTTTGTAATACAGTCCTTTACTTTCTGTCTTTCTGAAAAAGGATGTAAGCTGCAATGAAATTCGAACTATACCATCCCAAATTGGTAATTTGGAAGCCTTGAGAGACCTTAACATAAGAAGGAATCACTTAGTATGTTTACCTGAAGGTAAGGAATTTTGCAGTAAGAGTTAAGTTTCTTTAAAGATTTTATTTTTAGATTTCTCCACCTGATAAAGTTGATAAACTCCAGGTAGTTATCAGTGAATGGTCAGTAGCAGTTTCTTCTGGGAAATGCAGCATTTTGTTGTATGTAGTGTAAAGAAAAACATCCCAGTAGTTAGCATTTACCCTTCTGCTTAGACCTTACTGTAGTTGGTCTTGAAAGGCTACTAGTGCAATAATGCTGATATTATAAGAAATCACATAATGAAAACTTCAGGGTTTTAGTGAAAATGAAAATTCTTGGTTTCAGACAATTTCAGTCTAACAGACATATTCATATAATTTCTGTATTTTACTTTGAACTCATATTACAAACTGTGAGTCACAAAAATAGGTTCAGATGATTTTCTATCCGGTTATTTTAGCATACTCATTTAAACTAAGATAATAGGAAAGGGTTTTTTCCTACGTTATGCAAGTTAGGAAGTTAATGTGAATTACTAATGATTACCTATTACAACTTGGTGGTTTAAATATTTTGTTACCGCTTAATTTTTACAATTTTCATCGAATTAAATATCAAAGCAATCCATATAAGAAGCTTAAAATAGTAACAACATTCTCATATCTCACTCTCTTGTCCTCCTTAGTTATAGTGGTCAGAAGCATGTGCCTTTGCATATGCGTCACTGGGACTTGCACCATATTTTTTATTTATTAATTTTTTTGCTTTTTTGGGTCACACATGGCGATGCTCAGAAGTTACTCATGACTCTGCACTCAAGGATCACTCCTGGCAGTGCTTGGGGGACTCTTAGGGATGCCGGGGATTGAACCCAGGTTGGCTTCGTTCAAGGCAAATGCCCTTCCCACTGTGCTGTCAGTCCGGCCCTTGCAACATTATTTTTAAGCCAGAGGCTTGTACAGCTGTTACTGAACGTATCGGCTTTGACATTTGGGCCTCTTGCCTTGCACAGGAGAGCATCCCACATGTGCAAGGCAAGCACCCGCCCTGCTGTACTGTCTCCCCAGCTCCAGTAATTCTAGCTTTCAAAGATTTTTTTTACGTTTGTTTCCTGTCTGTTTTATTTTTCTCATTTGTTTCATGTGATTTGTCTTACATACTGGAGACTTCTCTAAATACCTGTGCTGATTAGGTGCTTCTAATTTTATGTGATAAATAATAAACTCGGTATTTTATTGGATGAAATTCTTTATCATTACCTAGAAGGCGTTTTTAAGAGACCATGTATGTCTGATTTCTTACATATTACCATGTATATTTCTGATTGGGCTGGAGCGATAGCATAGAAGGTAGGGCATTTGCCTTGCACGTGGCTGACCCAGGTTCGATTCCTCTGCCCTTCTCAGAGAGTCCGGCAAGCTACCGAGAGTATCCCACCTGCACGGCAGAGCCAGCCAAGCTCCCCGTGGCGTATTTGATATGCTAGAAACAGTAACACCAAGTCCCACAATGGAGATGTTATGGTACCCACTCAAGCAAATCGATGAGCAATGGGAGGACAGTGACAGTGATATTTCTGATTACTGGTGCTCAAGAAATGTGAATGGGGTAGAATGAATAGGAAAGTGTTGAGTTCTTGCTGTTGGATGTGTTTTCTTTAAATCCACTATTTTCTAATTGGTATCTCTCCTAATTGTTTTCCATTGTACGTGGTATACCAGGTACAGTGGAAAAATCCAGAGTTTTTCCTCCGTCCAGTTACTAGAGTCCAGAGACTTTCCATTCAGTGACTAGAGCATAACTTGCCATCTCCTCCCTCTGCCATAGGAGAGAGGGCGAATGCCCTGGTTGAGAGCTGGGCCTGGGGTCTACCTTACGCTTCACAGCGATAATCCTCTAGACTTTTGTTATCTCCACTTTTTCTGGGATACTGGACCTTTAGCTTCTGAGATGTTTGTAAAGGGTCAGAGTTTTCTTGTGTTTGATTTTTTTATTATCTGTTAATAACTAGATTTCATTTTACCCATCTGTACTGGGTCAGTTCATCACTAGAAATGAATGAGGGTAACGGCCTGTGTTAAATCTACTCTGATAGGCTGGAAAGTCATGAAAATTGTCTAATTTTTAAACATCATCATTGGGCCGAAAAGATAATACAATGAGTTTGCCTTGTACACAGCCATTCTTGGTTTAATCCCTGAGCTCACAGCCAGGAGTAAGCCCCAGTACTGCTGGGTGTTACCCCAAAACCAATATAATAAAATGCCTTTATTTGTTTCTATTTTACATACATGCAGAGCTAGCAGAATTGCCTTTGATACGGTTAGACTTCTCCTGCAATAAAATTACAACAATCCCTGTTTGTTATCGTAACCTCAAACACCTACAGATGATCACCTTAGATAATAATCCACTGCAGTCACCTCCTGCACAGGTAAGCCTTGTTGATTTGAAGTATGTCGCAAATTTTTTTGTGAAGGATGAAATTTTAAATTTCTTCTTTTACTTTTTATATTTTTTACTTCTTTATAAAAAATTTCTTTCATATGCATTTATTTTTCTGTTATAAGGAATTCTTTAATTTTTTTCCTAATAAAATTTTAATTAAGGTGTCAGAGAAATAGTCCAGGGGTTAAGGCACTTTCCTGCATGCTGCCAACCTCGGTTAGGGCCCCTGAAGCACCATTAGAAATGACTCCTGAGTACAGAACAGGAGTAGCCCCCAAGCACCACTGAGTGTAAACACCCCCCAAATTTTTGTTTTGAGTTAATTTCTTTCTTTATTTTTAAGAAAACTTACATATCTATCATGTAAATACTAGAGACTAGAAACCTCAGCTTTCAAAACTAAAGCTTGTCAGTGCTGGTCTTGTTTATTTCTATACCTTACTGTTTTCTAAATCATAAATTCCTCTTCTGTCTGTTTGACTAAAATAAATGAGTGATTGTGAGTGACTGCAAGAAACTGTTGAGTTATATAAGCCTTACATGTAGTCTTAACATTGTACAATCTAAATTTTAATAGGCCATATGTTAGACTGTAGCTTTTTAGATATTATAATTGATAGTTTTATATAAAGCTTCTATATTGCAACCATAAAACTGATTAAACTTCATAACTATAAATGGCTATTATAATCCTAGCTTATATTTCAACTTTAATAGATAACAGAAATATATATATAACTTAATATTTAACCACTTCCTTCTATTCTCTACTATTTACCAAAGAATCTTTTTTTACAAAAAAAGCAAAAATGTAATTGAAAACATAATTTGTACATGATTGTTGGATAGCTAAAAGCAAAAGTAGTCAATATAATCCATGGGGAGAAATGTTTAAATTCATGATTTAAATCATCACTAATCAGTATAAGTTTACATGATACTCTAACAATGTTTATTATAAAACTGTATATTTTGCATGTTACTGAAGTGTTATTAATGACTAGAAAAAAATTTGTATTTATATCACTTTTAGGCTCCTAAAATAACAATACGATCTGTGTGAAGAGCAACAAAAATCTAATATTTCTGTTGTGGTTGATGAAAATGCCTTGTGTTTGCAATGGACATTAAGTGAAAGGTGACTCTGATTCTCAAGGGAAACTGACCCTTCAAATGAGTAATGACTCGCTTGCATTTGTGTCTTACTTAGATATGTATCAAAGGCAAAGTCCATATATTTAAATACCTGAACATACAAGCCTGTAAGATTGCTCCAGATCTGCCAGATTATGATAGGAGGCCCTTGGGTTTTGGTTCCTGGTGAGTATGTTTTATTCTTGATTGTATTCCATTTCACAGAAGATCAAATAAACTGTCCCTTTAAGTCTGCCTTTGTGTTTGGCTAAAGGGAAATAACTTACTGTATTATGTTTTGTTTAAAAAACATTTCCTTTATTGACACTGTTCATAATTTTCTACGTTTCAGCAGTGCATTTTTTTAAAGTTTTTTTTTCAGCAGTGCATTTTTATACCTCTTCAAAAGTTAACTTGTCCTACCGTGCCCGTTCCAAAGTGCAGGGTTCTGCAGCGCCATCTGTTGCCCCCTTCCCCTTCCCCTGGCAACCTTAGTTCTGTGGTTTACATCCAACCAAAAATTCGTTTTGGAAAGAACCAATTTTAATACTGTTATTTCTAGACTGCTCATTTGTATTAAATGTTGGTTGCATAAATCTGATCTGACAAAGTACAGGGATTTTTTTCAGCCTGAGTCTTGTTGCTGTTCTGGACCAGTTCTTTGTTGTGAGGATCTGTGCACTGGCTTTTGTAATGTTCCTCTCTTGGGACAAACAAAAGTGTTCACAGACATTGCCAGGTAGTCCCATGGGTCCCCAAGTGAGAGAACCACTAGTCAGAATGACTTAAATATCACTTACAACTGAAGTTACTCAAACTTTTGGTACTCACTATTTTTCTCACAGGAAATGAAGAAGTTGTATTATGAGGATGGATTATTTATTTATTTATCTATCTTAAAGGCGAGAAACTTTTTTCTTTAGATTTTATATAACATCACATTTTTTTAATTTTCCTATTTAATTTTTGTTTTTAGTGAAACACCATGAGGTACAGTTGTAGACTTACAAACTTTAGTGCTTGGGTTTCAGTTATACAGTGATCGCGTATCCATCCCTCCACCAGTGCCCATTCTCCACCACCAATGGTCCCAGCAGCCCTCCCACCTCCAGACCCCATCCCCCCACCCCACCCCGCCTCTGTTGGCAGGGCATTCCCTTTTGCTCACTCTTTCCTTAAGGGTGTTGTAGTTTGCAATAGAGGTACCGAGTGACTATCATGTTCAGTCTATAGTCTACATTCAGCACACAACTCGCATCCCGAGCGAGCTTATGAGGACCATTTAATATCAGTTCAGGTTATTTGGTTCTGTGAGTCCGACATCCATATTCATGACGTGAATATGGAATGTCCCCAAGCACGTGACTGATAGGGTCATCTGTGTGGCTATTTCCAGCCATCCAAAACAGTCTTTAAGTAACAGGATTTACCTTTAAAAGGTCTATGAGCAGCTATGGTTTTGTTTTGCTTTGGCGCCATAACTGGCACACTCAGGGCTCACTCCTGGCTCCTGGGCGTGTGTGGGATGCCCACACCATACCTGCCATACTCTCCGGCCCCTAAGCAGGTCATGGTATCAGCTCTGAAATATGCTCTTGACGTAACACTCATGGGGCCAGCCCTGCGACCCTCTTTGGAACCTGCCATGTTTTGCATGTGAGCCAGTCCTGGTGACCAGCTTGCTGCCCATTTTTTTCTAGTTTGAAACTAATTAACACATTTCTATTTTGATAGGGTTTCTAAAATCAGATATAGTACAAGTGCAGAAAGGGGGGCCAGGGAGCAGCTCAGGTGGCACACCATGGGCCTGGGTTCAGCCCCAGACCTTAGGGCCTCTATGCTCCACCCCCCAGCAGCAGCAATGACAGTAAACAAAGTAATTTGAAGGATAAAACGATGAAAAGCAAGCCATATTAAATCTAGTCAGTGGGTAACTTAGAGAAGAGGTAAGTTTCACTGTGAAAGGCATAAGAGACATTAAAGGGATCAGTGTTTCATCAGGTTTCAAAAGTGGGATCATATTCTTTTATTTATCTCATAGTGTTTCATAATTTTAATAGTATTTAAAAGCATAAGCTATAACACAGTATTTTGATATCATTAGGCATATATGCAAAGAATCCTTCATATTGCAATAACTATTTATTTTTTACTGTGTTGAGGTTCAGAGAGATAGTACAGGGGTAAGGTGCTTGTCTTGTATGTGACCAACTTAGGTTTGATCCCTGGCACCGTAAACGGTCCCCCAAGCACTGTTAGGAGTGACCCCTGAGCACACAGCCAAGTGTAAGACCTTAGTACTAAACCACACTCCCACAAAAAAAACGTTCTTGCTACATTGTAGTGCCATAGAATAATTTTTGTCCATTAGGAAGATGAAGAGCTGTATTAAAGCATATATTTTTCTTACATAATACCAAAGAAAATGTGTCATAATTTTTCCACCCAAATTAATAAAATTGGACATTTAAGTATTTGTGCTATAAAGGGAGATCTTAGATTAATCTAGAAATATCTCCTATACAGGACAGAACCTTTTAGGAGACATGAGCATTCACTCCGGAGAATTTAATCTCTGCCCTTTTCCCAGACCATGATCTCTCACCACTGTTTCAGTAAATGCCTGGCGCGTGCAGTAACTGCTCAACAAGTATATTCAGTGAATGGATTGTTTGTATGAGTATCATTTCCCTCCTAGTTTCCACGTCTTAGAGCAATCAGAGAAAACTAGGGACTGGAGAGATGGTGCAGTGGGCAGGCGCTTGCCTTGCATGTGACTGATCTGGATTAGATCCCCGGCATCCCATCGTCCTCCTTAGGTCTCCAGGTGTGATCTCTGAGCATGGAGCCAGGAATCAGCACCACCAGGAGTGCCCACCCCCCCAAAAAAATCAAAAACAAATTTTTAACTGACAGTGTTGGGTTTTTAGTTTGGCTGTCAGGTTGAAAACTTGCTTATATACTATGAAGAATATTCATAACACTAACCTGGTTGTTTATACACATGATAATAGATTTTAGTATATGTATATATGCATAAGGAGAGGTTAGTCCAAATTACTCATATGAAATATTTCTACTAAGAATAATCTTAATCTTCTACCTCTGAGTGGACTGGAAGCACGTGTATAATGTTAAGCACTTGAGGAGTTCGGCAGGACTGGGGAGTTGGAGGGCTGACAGGTCCCATTCTAGCCAGTCCTCTCGAGCCTGGGGAGTGTGTGTGGGAGCCCGCAGAGAGAGAACAAAGCTGGGGGAGTGCTTGCCATGCATTCAGCGGGCCCTGGTTTGATTCTCACACCACATTTAGCCCCCCAAGCACAGCCAGGGGTAAGCCCTGAGCACTGCTGAGTGTGGCCCCCAGACAAAAACAATTTAAAAACAATGTCATAACTGATGTAAGGTATAATCTAACTCCTGTATTACTTTGTAAGGTCAGAGAGATAGCACGGGGGTTAACACAGCAGACGTGGGTGTGTACTGTGACACCACATATGGCCCCCAGAGACCTGCCAGGAGTGAACCCTGAGCACGCCCTGTGCATTGCCGGTTGGCCCAGAACACCCCTTAAAATATCCCTTATTATACATGCTAGATTCATCTGTCTTTATTATCCAAAGTTACATTATTCATAAACTTTTCAGAATGCCCTAGACTGGCATAAGGTTACCTTATATTTTACTTATATAAATTTAACATAATTTTACATCTATATATTTAACTCAAGTACTTTATTTCCTTAACTCTTGCAACAGTGAATGAGATTTTACAACTTCATAACATTTTCACTCTGGTAAAAAAATCAATGAAATTGCATTGTAATTAATAGCACATTTATTCAAAATGTTGTTGTGGGCCCAGAATTTAAAAAATAGATTGCATGCCTGTCTTTTTTAATAACTAGAGGTTCTAAATGTCCCTTATCTCTTAGTTTTCTTCCTCAGCCTTTAAACCAATATTGAATCACACTGTCTTCATCTTCACTATCTTCCTCTTTTACCTCCCTCTTCCTCTTTTAATGACCTTTGATTATTTTGAGTTCGTTCAGAGAGTTCAAGATAATCTAATTTTGAGGCCAGTTTTTTTCTGTCTGCAACTTTCATCGCCTTATACCATATAAGGTTAACATGTTTATAACTTCCAGGGATTAGGTCTTGGATGTCATTGGGAACCACTACTCAGCCTTTCATATTAATTTAAGATGAAAACAAAATCAGAATGGTATTGCCTCTTCAGGTCAGAGAATGTCAGGTGAGGGAAAGTGACGAGGAAGAAAGTGCTGGTGAGGAGGGTTTCAGGAAGAACAAATGGATGTCCTGGCAGAGATGTATGTTATGGAGATAGGTTCTCAGTTAAACTTTCATAGTGAAGGCTTATACATTTTAGCATACATAATGGGGGAGGATAGGAGTTTTCTGTGGTGGGAGAAAGGGGTTCTCTCGGCTGTGCTCAGGACTTAATCCTAACTGCTCTGGGAGCACTTTTGGTGGTGCTTGGAGGACCATATTATAGTGGCAGGATGGAAATTGGCTTCGTGATGTGCAAGGCAAGCTCCTTAACCTCAGTATCTCTACCTCAACATAAATTACTGCACTGTAGCACTGTCCTCCCATTGTACATCGATTTGCTTGAGCGGGCACCAGTAACGTCTCCATCGTGAGACTTGTTGTTACTGTTTTTGGCATATTAAATATACCCCGGGGAGCTTGCCAGGCTCTGCCGTGTGGACAGAATACTCTCAGTATCTTGCCAGGCTCTCCCAGAGGGATGGAAGAATTGAACCTGGGTCTGGCGTGTACAAGACAAATGCCCTGCCCACTGTGCTATCGCTCCAGCCCCAACATAAGTAAGAATTTTGGCGTGTACAAGACAAATGCCCTGCCCACTGTGCTATCGCTCCAGCCCCAACATAAGTAAGAATTTTTTTTTTTTTTTTTTTTTTTTTTTTTTAGTTTTTGGGCCACACCCAGCAGTGCTTAGGGCTGACTCCTAGCTCTGCACTCGGGTTACTCCTGGTGGTCACAGGGAACCCTATGGGGTGCTGAGGATCAAACCTGGGTCCTCCATGTGCATGGCAAGTGTCTTAACCACTATACTATTTCTCTGGCCCCTATGTAAGTAAAAAAAAAGTTTTATAATAATTTTTTATGAATTTTATAAAATTTATTATAAAATTCTTTAATTGCTACATCCAGCAGTGTATTGGAGGTGGGGAAAGGGGCAGACTGTGTGGTACTGGGGTCGCCTAAAGTTCCTGTTTATAATGGGAAATAGCCCCTTTTATGTATGGAGAATTTACCTGTTAAAAGAAGAGTATATTTAGAAATAAAAACATCTGAAAGAGGTTATGGAAAATGGGTGGAGACAGATAAAATAAGAAGGCAGAATGTTGATTTTTTTCAATGCTGAATAATGAGAACACATTTCATTTTATGCTATTTTATTTACCTTGTATTATTTGGATTTTTTAATTAAAAGATTAAAGGAGGGACTGGAGCAATAGCACAGCGGGTAGGACGTTTGCCTTGCATGCAGCCGACCTGGTTCAATTCCCAGCACCCCATATCATCCCCTGAGTACCACCAGGGGTAATTCCTGAGTGCAGAGCCAGGACTAACCCCTGTGCATTGCTGGGTATGACCCAAAAAGCAAAAAAAAAAAAAGATTAAAGGAGTGCCCATATAGTTATGAAGAATTAAGTTACTAAGCACCTTAAAACTGTTTATTAGTAAAATTGTGCTGACAGCTTCACAATAACCAAGCTTATCTTTGGCAGCCATGAAGAACTGTACTCAGGCCGGCCTTACGGAGCCCTGGACTCCGGCTTCAATAGTGTGGACAGTGGCGATAAGAGGTGGTCAGGAAATGAAGTGAGTGTTTCATCTTTTTTGTCTCCTGTTTAACTCTTGTTTTGAGGAAATAAAATGTTTAAGGAGAATCAAAACAAAGTATCTTTTTTATGCAGTTTTATCTTTTTATTGGTGGGCAAGGCCTGGGCCATTCCCTACACTGCTTGGGGCTTGCTCCTGGCTCAGGGGCTCACTCCTGGCAGTGCTTCGGGGACCAGTGTGGTGCTGGGATCCAACCCGGGTCTTGTGTAAGGCGGGCGCCTTGAGCTGTACTGTTTCTCTGATTTCTCTTACTCCTGTTCTTCCTATTTTTAATTCAATTTTATTATTATTGGGTAACTGGATTTACAATACTAACATTTATGCTCTTGGCATACAAAGGTGCTGCACCACACCAAAGGGCCCACACCCTCCAGTACTGCCTCAGGCGGCTGGGGTTGTTACTGAGTATTGTGACCTGTGTCAAAGAAACTGTGTCATCAAAAACTGTGAAATGACGCTTTTTATGTGCTATGTTTTTTAAGCCCACAGATGAATTTTCAGATCTGCCTGTCCGAGTAGCAGAAATTACTAAAGAACAAAGACTCCGAAGAGAAAGCCAGTACCAGGAACATCGCAGTAGTTTACTAGTAACAAATGGTGGAGGTGAGTATGATTCTTGGTGACATCTGCCAGTCTTCACAATCACTCTCAAGCAATCATTTTCTGATTTATTCCTTTTGTTTCTGTGTTCATAGCTTCTTAGCTCTTCATGATGTACTCTTCCATTAGGGTTGAGTGAGATCATTGGGGAAAAAATTGTTTTCCTTTTGAGTTGAATTTCAGTTTCTGGATTTTTTTGTGTGTGTGTGCGTGTGTGTGTGTGTGTGTGTGTGTGTGTGTGTGTGTGTGTGATGTAAGGACATATTTTTCATATTTTAAATTTTGAAATTATAGGGAGCTTGTAAAGGTAAAGGCCCTCCCGTTGATCGTCGATTTGCTCGAGCGGGCCCAGTAACGTCTCCATTGGAGACTTTGTTGTTACTGTGTCTGGCATATCGAATACTCTCGGTAGCTTGCCGGGCTCTCTGAGAGGGGCGGAGGAATCGAACTCGGGAGCTTGTATTTTCTTCTAGGTACCCAGCAGTGCTCAGTGGTGCTATGCTTAGAACCACTATTCCTGGTTCTATGCTTAGGAACTATTTTTCATGGGTTGGGGAGACTATATGGGACGCTAGGGATTTAACTCAGGTTGGTCATGTGCAAGGCAACCACCAACCCACTATACTATTTCCCTGGCCCCTGAAATTTTGTTTCTCAAGGAGATCTGAACCCATTCTACGGATGGAGCTCAGAAGTACGTCTGAGGGCCAGGGTTCGATCCCAGCACCATCCCCAAAACAACAAAAACCCCACCAGTAGCATCAGTACCCACATTTTCTCTCTTTTAAAAAACGGTTAGAGGAATTGTTCAGGGATTTAGGAACATTACATGCATCCAGCCCCAGTTCAGTCCCTGCTACTGCATGCATGTGGCACCCCCACTGCCAGGAGTAAGCCCTGAACAAAGAGCCAGAAGTAGTCTCCCAAACCCCCAAAATCAAATAAAAATTTTAAATCATTCTTATTTATGAATAAGTATAGCTATTTTTGCTGCTTTCTTGTGTTTCTTTTTGTTGTTGTTCTCACTGTATCACTGTCATCCTGTTACTCATCGATTTACTCAAGCGGGCACCAGTAATGTCTGCATTCATCCTAGCCCTGAGATTTTAACAGCCTATCCTCACTCATCCTTCCCAACGGTGCTGCATTGGAGGCTCTTTCGGGGTCAGGGGAATGAGACACATCATTGTTACTGTTTTTGGCGTATCGAATATGCCATGGGAGCTTGTCAGGCTCTACCGTGTGGGCAAGATACTCTCAGTAGCTTGCCGCCTTCTCTGAAAATGAGACCTAGATTACGCGGCTGCGAGCTTCTGGGAGCTTTCATTTATTGTCTCTAGATCTTGGCTGTTGATGGGATTTCATGGCGCCGGGGGGAGAGGGTAGTTTGTGGGTGTAACTTACCTAGCTACTAGAAAATGGGGGATCTGGGTGGAGGAGGCCCAGTCCGGGTCCGAGCAGGCTTGGAGGTCTCAGCCCTGGGACCCGCACACCTAGGTTCCTCTGCAGGTTTCTTCATGCGTGAGACCCATTCAAACATAAAAACTATACCCTGCCAGGAGCGATCCCTAAATGAAAACCACCAGTAAGTCCTGAGCATCTCTAATTGTGGCCCAAATTATGGAAAATTACTTTGATTTTCCATAAACTTACTATGGTTTCTCAGAAAATATTTTGACTGTGAATGGTGATTTGAATGAACTGTTTCACTACATTTTTTAACCATGCCATCATATATTATTCTTACTTTCCATTACTCTTCAGTAGTGCTTTTTATTTTATTTTTGGTTCACACCCAGCGTTGCACCAGGGTTACTACTCCTGGCTCATGCACTCAGGAATTACTCCTGGCGGTGTTCGGGGGACCATATGGGATGCTGGGAATCAGGCCCGGGTCGGCCATGTACAAGGCAAATGCCCTACCTGTTGTACTATCACTCCAGCCCCAGTAGGGCTTTTTTTTCTCTTTTAATCTTTTTTTTTTTCCCTTCTTTTTGGATCACACCCAAATCATGCTCTACCAAGGCTCAGGGGTTACTCCTGGCTCTGCACTCAGGAATTACTCCTGGCAGTGCTTAGGAGACCATCAGGGATGAAAAGGATTGAGCCTGGGTTAGCCTTGTGCAAGGCAAATGTCCTACCCGCTAATGTTCTACCCACTCCTTCCCTAATTTTTTTTATGAGATAATCTATCCCTCAGTTAATTTCATGTGTAAAATAATGTCTGGATCAGTACTTTACATCATGGTAGCCATGTGCCTTGACACTAACTTTAAAAAGTTAATTTTAGCTAGAAAATAGCTCAGCAGTGGAGCACTTGCCGCATATGCATAAGGTCATGGGTTTATTCCCTAACACCAAAAGTGAGCCAAAAAAATAAAACAGTATCCTGTCAGGTGAAAATGCTATCTTCCCCAGGCCCAAGAGTTGGCTGGTGGCCTCTGCACATGCTCTGCATGCAGAAAGACTGGGTTCAATTCCCAGTGCTGCATTGTTCCCAGCTCTGCTGGTCATGATCCCAGCACCACTGGGTGTGGTCCCCAACCCAGGACACAAATCGTATAAGTATAATATTTAATAAATATAAAAAGTTTCATTCCTCTGCTCCTCTCGGAGAGCCCGGCAAGCTACCGTGAGTATCTCGCCCGCATGGCAAAGCCTGGCAAGCTCCCCGTGACGTATTCGATATGCCGAACACAATAACAACAAAGTCTCACAATGAAGATGTTACTGGGCCCGCTCGAGAAAATCAATGAACAATGGGAGAACAGTGACAGTGATCAAAAGAAAATTTTCTAAAGAAAGTTACTTTGAGGGGGCCAAACAGCTAGAACAGGGGTCCAGAGAGTTGCCTTGCATGTGGCCGGCTCTGGTGTTCTGCACATACGGCCCCTGGAGCAAGAATCAGGAGTACACCCAAGCGCTGCAGAGTGTGGCCTAAAAAACTGAAAACAAATTATGTGCCTATATCTTACTTAGATTCTTCTTGCTCCAAAAAGGGGGGGGAAAAAAAACCTTTCGTTCCTTCTCTCCATACACTATTACAAATATCTGTAACAATAATCTGTAGAAAGTAATTTTTGAAATAGAAGCTTTTTTTGTTCTAATTATGGACAATAATTACAGGAAGGAAAGCAGCAAATTCTTTCTCTCAAAGGCCGTTTTCTTCCTACCCTTTCTCTTTTCTTTCAAGGTAACTATTAGATTTTTCTGCTTCTCAGCTCTTTAAGAGAAATATGATTAAACCCCAACCTAAAATATTGGGAAGCTGGGGAGACTGAAAGAAATACACCTTTCTGTGTTCAAAAAAATGAGTCTTCCTCTGTGTCACACACATAGCCTTTTTTGAAAGAGAAAAAAGCTGTCCAAAGAAAGGAAATGTTAGAGGTCTATGCTTCAGTCATCGCCGTTTATTATTGCATTCTTAGGAAATTGAGGCCAACTTTGCTGGGGCCTTTTTCACGTTTAATTGAATTGCCGTGAAAAAGATGATTGAGTTCCTCTTTATACTTGAGTTCCAGGTGTGTATTGTTCTCACACCAATCCCTTCACCAGTGTCCCCAGTTTCCCACCCACCCAGCCTGCCTCTGCCACTTATCCCCTCCGGGACCTACTTTTATATGTAGCCGTGGACCAAAAGGCTTATAAAGCTTTTCTCATTCCTTCCACTTTAATGTTAGGGCCCAGGAAGCTGTGCGAGTGAAGGTCTCTTACGTCTCTCTCTTGAATTTTTCCCTGGCGTATTGTGGCTATAGAACATGACCTGGATCAGATCGACTACATTGACAGCTGTGCTGCGGAGGAGGAGGAGGAGGAGGGCCGCCAACCGCGGGCCCTGGATGGAGACAGCCTTAGCTCCCAGTTCATGGCCTACATCGAGCAGCGGCGAATTTCTCATGAGGTACGACACCTCTGTAGCTGGGACATGTGCTGTCTCCTCAGGGGAGCAGCTCATGATGCTAAAACTTTGTCTTCCCGGTGATGTGTTGGGTTAAGTGTAATTATTTGTTTTATTTCATTCAGTTCTGGTTTCATTACTGAATGTTTCTAGTCTTTATTTTTAGCTTTTTGGGTCACACCTGACAATGCACTCCAGCCCCTCCAGTCTTATTTTATGTTTTGTTTTGTTTTTTTCTTTTTGGGTCACACCCGGCAATGCACAGGGGTTACTCCTGGCTCTGCACTCAGGAGGTACCCCTGTCTGTGCTCAGGGTACCTTATGGGATGCTGGGAATCGAATCTGGGTCGACCGCGTGCAAGGCAAGTGCCCTACCTGCTGTGCTACGACTCCAGCCCCCCTCTAGTCATATTTTAAAAGTCAACCTATAGTGTCATAGTGGGGTTAGGTTTTTTTTTTTCAAATAAAATGACAATTTAGGGGTTGGAGTGATAGTACAGCTGGTGGGGCATTTGCCTTGCATGCAGCCAACCCAGGTTCGATCCCTGACATTCCATAAGGTCCTCCAAGCACCTCCAGGAGTGATTACTATGTGCACAGCCAGGAACATCACTGGGTGTGGCCCCAAAACAAAACAAAAAACCAACATTTCAGAAAATTTAAGAAGCAATTATTAAGGCCTCCTGAAATCCTTGAAGAAAAGGAAACAGTTTTCATTGTTTGGGTATTTTTTTTATTGTTACTCACTGATAAGTCACAGTTTGATCAGCATTAAGCAAAATTGAACCAAACTGCTGACTTTTGTGAAAAACCGTAGAAATTTTGTGATGAACTTAATTATATTGGCATGTTTATGCTAAGTCAGACAGAATATAAATTGCTTCCATCTAAATTCTTGGGTGTCTCTTAGGGAGGGACATTGAGTTGCCTTTGAAAACAAACGAGCATTCAACTCTCTGGAGAATCCCTGCCAATTCCCTGAGGGTCTCAGGAAGAAGTCACATTCTTCAGTAAATCTAGTCAGCATAATGAAATGGCTGCGCTTGAGCGTGTGATGTTCATGTCTGGAGTTGGTGCCAGGCTCCAGGCAGGAGTTATTTAAGAAACAATTTTTGGACAATGTTGAATTATAGCCTTTTAGAAGTAGAAAATAATTATTTCAGTGACACATACTATGATATTACCATTTTTAAATGTTTAAAATGTTATTCAAACTTTTTATTATTTTTCATTTAAAAATTGAAATTAAGAATACATGTTTGAATATGGATCACTTTGTTATTTCAGTATTCTTTTTTTTTTCATTTGTACCTCATGATATAAATACCATCTGAGAACTGTGTATCTACGTGCAGCTATATAATGGGTTAAAACTGATGAGCACTAAAGGCATGCAAAAAAATACTCGAGACATTCTTCAAGTCTTAAAGCTGTCTTGATAATGAAATGTTTATTAATGTTCTATTAAATACAAATACTTCTGATTTCAGTCATATTGGACACTTCATGTTCTTTTTGTTTACGTGTTTCTGTTTTGTGGCCACTCCCATAGTGCCCGGGGCTTAGTCCTGGCTCTGCTCAGGGGTCACTCCTGACAGTGCTCAGGAGACCATACGTGTCCAGGTAACCGACTGTATAAGACAAGCACCATATTCACTGTGCTGTCTCTCTGGCCCCTTGTTGTTTTCATTTAATGAAGTGTCGTGATCTGCAGTAGTAGAAATGGTACAGTTTTACTGGCACATTGCTGCTGGCTTGCTGTCCCTCCCCCCCACTCCTTAGATCCTTCTCATCTACCCCACCCACTTTTTTTTTTCTGACTCACACCCAGCGATGCCCAGGGGTTACTCCTGGTTCATGCACTCAGGAATTACCCCTGGTGGTGCCCGGGGAACCATATGGAATGCTGGGAATTGAACCCGGGTTGGCCGCGTGCAAGGCAAATGCCCTACCCGCTGTGCTGTTGCTCCAGCCCCTCTGCCACCCACTTCTGTCTTTACTCTCTACTTGGCAAATTCAGTTCTGTTGGCAGAATCTCAGTGTTTGTTTCCACTGGCTGCTGTGGATTCCCTTGGTTTGTGTCCTTAGATTCCACATATAAGTGAAATCATCTGATATTTTGCCCTCTTTCTTACTCACTTTGCTTAATATGACACCCTCAAATTCCATTTCAGTTGTAGCAAAATGCAAAATTTCTTAACAGCTATGTAGATTTTATAATCATTATGAAAATATAGCACAATTTCTTTATCCACTAATTTGTCATTAGATATCTGGGTCATTTCCAGGTCTAGGCTAATCAATATCAGATTGTATGTATGTATCTTTCAAATTAATACTGTTGTGTTTTCAGGATAGATGCCCAGAAATGGAACTAGTGGGTTTGGCGGGAGCGCTGTGTTTAGTTTTTTGAGAACTTCCCATGCCGTTTTCCTTGGGGCACCAGACAGTAGTCCCACCAGCAGGAAACTGCTGTCAACAGCAGCTCCGCTAACGCTGGCTGTTTCTGGGCTTCTTTTACTGTTGTCACAGGTGTGAGGTGACATCTCATTGTCATGTTGTCTTGCATTCTCACAGCTCGTGATAATATTTTCATAGACTATCTATATGTCTTCTTTGAGGAATTGTGTCTTCAGATCCTCTCCTCATTTTGCAGTGGGGTTGTTTGGGTTTTTTAATTTTATTTTATGAATGCTAATCTATCTTGAATTTTTAAGTTTTGTCAGGTGGATGGTGTGCACGTATTTTCTTTCATTTACTTTGGTGTCTTTATTTTAGCTGTAACTTCTTTTATTGTACAGAAACTTTTTAGTTTGGTGTAGTCCCATTTGCTTATTTTTGGTTTTGTTTTCTTTGCTGCTGGAGTCCAGTCATTGAAGACCCTCTGAGGTGTCTTTCCTGGAATTGTGCCTGTTTTCCTTGTTACACTGTAATGGTTCTGAGTCTCCTGTCGAGGCTTCTGCTGATCCCTTTTGAATTCATCTTTGTAAGATGTGAGATAGGGGTCTAGTTTAATTGTTTCATATGAGGGTGACTTTTTTCCCCAGCACTTATTGAAAGTACTTCCCTTCTTCCACGTAATACAATTAGTTCGTTTATCATTAACTGTCCAAACATCTGAGGATTGGTTCATTTCTGGACTTTCTGTTCTGTTCCACTGGTCTTGAGACCTTGCATTTTGATTGCTGTTGTTGTGGTACAATTTAAAGTCAGGAGTGCTCTACCTCCCCTCTTCTTTTTCCTTAGAATTGCTCTGCTTGGGGAGTTATATTTCCACACAACTTGTAACAGTGTCTTTCTGTGTCCTTGAAGAATGCTCTGGGAATTTTGATGAGAATTACATTGGATCTTTATAGTTTGGGGTAGAGTGGTTGTGTGCTGCATGTGGTTTTTGTTTTGTTGTGATTTTTTTGGCCATATCTGATGGTGTTCATGGACTGCTTCTGACTTCATGCTCCGGGATTGCTTTTGTCATTACTGGGGACATATTCTTGTTATTTATAGTTATTATAATACACATATACAGTGTAAAAGAAATTTAACTTCTTAAAAATAAACATTTTGCGATTGTGGATATTTTTGTGTTTACCAGCACAGTTATATACTGTAAGATGTTCTTAAGCATTAAAATCACATTTAAAGATTCTGTTAGAGGAGCGGGTGTGTGTGTTGAGGGGCGGAGTATGGAATATGGGACACTGGTGGGTGAAGGGGAACACTGGTGGTTGAATTGGTATTGAAATATTCTGTGCCTAAAATGCAGCTGTAAATTTTTTAATTAAGTAAAAATTTAATTAAGTAAATTTTTTAAATTTATTACTTAATCTTAAATTATTAAATGTATTAAATTTTTACTTAAATTATTGCTTAAATTTATTTAAATTATTAAGTGAAAAATTGGAAACTTTAAAAAGTGGGGGGCAGAAAGATAATCTTGCAGGTAAGTCGCTTGCCTGACGTGATTCTGACCAGGTTCAATTCCTGAGCACTGCCAGAAGTGATTTCTGAGCACATAGCCACTAGTAAATCCTGAGCATTGCCTGATGTGTTCCGAAAACAATAAAAGATTCTGTTAAATTTATTTTGACTTTTTTTTTTTTACATAGGTTTCACCAGTAAAGCCAGTGCCCATTAGGGAGTTTCATAAAACAGAAGATATGAGAAGATATTCACATCAAAACAGGTTTGAAAACCAAATCAATCATTTGTTTTTGTTTTAAATAATAAGAGCACTTGCAGGAGAAACCAGTGTCATGTCAAAGTTGGTCAGAGAAGAACTTAGAAATAGCTATTGGATTTGGAAATGTAAGCCCCCAAATTTAAGGACAGTTTTGCTAAATTTATAAGAACAAATCCAGATTACTGGGTGCTCAAATAAAAATAGGGGACCAGAAAGATACAGGTAAGGTGCTTGCTTAGCATACAGCCCGTCCAGGTTTGATGCTCCACGGCCCATATGATTCCCTGAGCACTGCCAGGAGTGATCACTGAGTGCAGAGCCAGGGAATAAAGTCTGAGCACAGCAGGTGTAGCCCCAAACCTAAATAAGTGGCAACAACAACAAAACAAACTAAAGTAAAATTGGGGCTGGAGCAATAGCACAGCCAGTAGGGCGTTTGCCTTGCATGCGGCCCACCTGGGTTCAAACCCAACATTCTATATTGTTTCCCGAGCATTGCCAGAAATAATTCCTGAGTACAGAGCCGGGAGTTATCCCTGGGCATCGCCAGGTGTCACCCAAAAAGCAAAAATTAAATTAAAAAAATAAAAACACTAAAGTAAATGAGATGAGGTGGAATGAAGACAGTAGATATCCGCAGCTTTGAAAGAAGTATTGGTTTAAAACCAACTGGAATAGAAAGAAATTGTATATTAAACGGTTTTGCTTGAAAAGTAAATCAGAACACGAAGACCCACTTGCTATGGGCTTATGTGGTCCTTTCTTTTCTTGTTTTTATGCATGCAGAGCCCAGCACTTCCTCCTTTTCTAGAGTGACAGCTTTAGAGTGAGTCCCTTTCCCAGTCCCATCACCCAGTGGCAGGCTTCCTACTGAAAGCCAGGTCTCAAGGTCTGCATTTCTCTTGCTTTGGGGAGTAGTTATACCCCTACTAGGTTTCTTCGTATCCCGCATGTGAGAGAGAGAGAAATCATTCTGTATCTTCTTTCTCTTTCTAACTTTGCTCTGCATGGCATTCTTCAGATTCATCCACATTAGCAGCAAATTGTATGATTTTATCTTTTCTTATGGCTGAGTAGTATTCCATTGTTTATCCAGTCATCTGTTCTTGGGCACTTGGGTTGTTTCCAGATTCTGGCTATTATTGATAGTGCTGCAAAAAATGAAGGGGTGCAGATGTCTTTTCTGCATTGAAACACTCAGTTCTTCTTCACCAGTTTTATGGAAGGAAAGGTAGGGGAGGAGATGGTGGACTTCCTATAAGAAACGGCCAGCCAGACCTCATGGTTCATTGCTGAGCCCAGAAGTGTGTTTCTGCTTGGGTCTGTTCCTGCTGAGGGCCATACAGTGCATGAAAAATGTAAGTTTCTTCGGAATCAGATAAGGATTTCAACCCAGCTGCACAATTTATTAGCTATCTCTGTAGCAGAATTACTTCTATGCCTTAGCTTCTCAACTACACAATGAAGACGATAGTAATTCTTTTTGTTTAGTTTCTGTCTTTGTTTGGGGGCTACACTGCTTGGTGCTCAGCACTCAGGAATTAGTCCTCGGGGTGTACAGGGAACCATATGGGATGCTGGGGATCGAGCTCAGGTCAGCAGCCTGTAAAGCAAGTGCCTCACTGTACTATTACTCGAGCCCCTGACCATCGTAACTCTTACTTCCTAAGATTCTTGAGAGTAAGTGAACAATACTGTGTACTGTGAAGTACTTCAAATACAAGATACCTGATTAGAACTTAGTGAATTGTTATTTTCTGTTTGCTTCTGCAAAATGCATGGCAAGGCCAGTTGGTTCAGGTAGAGAACCCCGCAGGCTGGAAGCGTGCTGGAAAACACCCATGTTGGTCCCCCTCCTTCAGCACTAACCCGTCGGCTGAGTGAGTAGCTGTAATAGTCTCCAGGTTTCCTGAACACTGCTTGGGAGCCCCCGCTGCCCACTCACCCCAGAAAAAAATCACCAGGTTCTCTAGTACTCCAGAGTTCTCTTGATTAAAGCACTGTATGTGAAAAAGTCTCCACTTACATACATATTATTTCATGGCAGTAAAGAACATAATCGTCGTTGTATGTGCTATAAAGAAACAATACTATCTGAAAGTGTTCTCCAGTAAGTGCTCATCAGCCCTGGCTCACAGTTGTGACCTAATCAGTGATCTCACATGAACAGAAACAGGAGACATCAGGTGTCCTGTGGCCTTAATTCAGTGACTCGGGCTCAGATTTTGCAAATGCAGTTCCTCTCTCAGTGCCCTCGGCGTATCATAAGGGATTAGTAGAGGAGCGTGTTACTAGTAAGGCGTCATTTGCCATCTGTGTATCTACCTGTTTTTATTATGGAATTTTTTCTTTTTCTTTTTTGGGGGGTCAGGCTTCCAGTTGAACCATCTGCTCTCTCACCACTGACACCAAATCACAGTCAGGTAATTTTTTTCCTACTTAATTATTTTTAACTGAGACATTTTTCTTTTGTAATTCTTGAATTGCAATTATACCTGATGTCTGCAGATTTCATCACCTGTTTCCTCAGTCATATATTACTGCTGCATATTGTCTGGACATGATAATAGGGTTTTTAAATGTCAGACAGAAAATAAATATTCATATGTCTTTATAATGTATTTAAGGACACTATACAAATATGAGAACGAATAAACACATTTAAATAAGATTGCTTGGGTCAATTATCATTTCCTCAATTGCCAGAGATTATCAGCAAGCTAACCCTTATTTCTGCTTAAATATGTAAAGTGCTGCTTTATTCTAGCTCTCACATGCAGACTTAGAACTTCATCGAAGAAGAGAACAGTTAGTTGAACGTACTCGGAGAGAGGCCCAGCTTGCCGCCTTGCAGTATGAGGAGGAGAAGATAAGGACCAAGCAGCTTCAGAGAGACGCAGTCCTGGACTTTGTCGAGGTGAGCCTTTTCAATCGCTGAATCATGTATTTCTTAGGCTCCTTTCCTCCCCCTCCCTCCCTCCGTCCCTCCCTCCCCTCTTCCCCTCCCTCTTTCCTTCCTTCTCTCCCTCCCTCTCTTTCTCCCTCTCTTCCCCTCCTTCCTTCCTTCCTTCCTTCCCTCCCCTTCCTTCCTCCCCCCTGCCTCCCTCTACTGTCCAGCCACCATTTTCTTAATCTCTTACACATTTGTAAAGATGAGGAATCATCTTTGTGATCATGACTGTGAAAGTGCTTTGAAAGTGTTTGGCAGCTATGCACCACTGTTACCCAAACTTGTCTCTTGCTCCTTTTCTTTTGCTTTGTTTTTGGGCCACACCAGGCAGTGTTGAGGGCTTACTCATGGCTGGCTCTGCGCTCAGGAATCACTCCCTGCAGGCTCAGGACCATATGTGGCACTGAGGAGTCTTTGTTGGCCATGTGCAAGGCAAGGGTGCTAGCCACTGTGTTATCACTTTGGCCCACTTTTGCTCTTACAAATAAAAAACAAATACCAAAAACCACAAATAATTTTAGTCATCCTTACCTTTAATTTTTTTCATTCTGTTTTCCCCATACCTGCTCAACAATCCTCATTAACATTTTTGTTATTTGCTTTTCCTTTGTTATGTGGCAGCCATGGCCAGCCTGTGTAACGGTGGGAGTCAGATCAGACCCGTGGCCTCACACCAAAGCATGTGCTCTACCACTGACACCACATATTTCTTTTCTTTCTAGATATTTTAACATAACATCCTCTCTAGTTTTCTTCACCATGGTCTGTTTGTCCGTCCTTCCTTCCTTCCTTCCTTCCTTCCTTCCTTCCTTCCTTCCTTCCTCCCTCCCTCCCTCCCTCCCTCCCTCCCTCCCTCCCTCCCTCCCTCTACCTTGGGCCAGAGAAACAAGCCTTCTTTGCATGTGGTTGATCCAGTTCAGTCCCTGGCATCCTGTGTGATCCCCCAACCCCCTCCAGGGGTAATACCTAATGCAGAGCCAGAAGTAACCCCTGAGCATTGCTGGCTGCGGCCCCAAAACAAAACAACGTATGCATACGAGCCCCTTTGAACTCTATCCCTCGCCCAAACTTAGTTCATTTTTATCACCTGTATCACTGGAATTGTCTTGACATTTTTTTCATAGTTATTTGTATTTTTGTTCATTTGGTACCTATTTCTCCCAGTTTTTTATGAATGCCAAAAAGAAGGGACCCATGTTTGTCTTTGTTATTCACTTTCATATTTGTATCTCAGCTTTAGATCATGCTAAAAGCGTTATGGATAAATGAACTATTCTTGCGCCTTATTTTTAAATGTATTAATTTCATGATAATGATCTTCAGTGCTTGGGATAGCAGTTTTCTAAGGTAAAATGACAGAGCAGACACTCTAATCAAGACAAACCAGCCTCAAACCCTACTCTATGACTCAATGCTGTACTGACTCGCAGTACTTAGCAATAGCTAATGTTTATTTTTACCCTAAGTTGTATGCGTTTTATTTAAATAAACTTGTTTGACTTGCCTGCCTGTATATAGAAGTCTGTAACTCGGAAAAAGTCATCACATGGTCTCTTGATGATGCATCTTGGTCAGTTGCTCTTGCACTTCTTTTTTTTGTTTTTAATTGCAGATTAAAAATTGAAGTAAAACAGGTTTTATTTGGAGGGTTTTGAAGGCATGGAGGAGGAGGGGGAGAGAGAGAGAGAGAGTGAGAGAGAGTGAGTAATACGCTCGAGAGAACGCTGGTTTCTCCACAGGCGGAGAGAGCCCCTACACACATCACATATCCCAGCATCAGACAGGAAAGCATGAAAGTCCACATCTCAAGAGGGGAGATGTGGGCGACACATGTGCTCAGGCAATACATGTGCTCGGCCACATGGGCACAAGCAGCACATGGGCTCGGGCAGCATATGCACCGCTCTTGAGCTTTTAGGTTTAAAAGAACAATTGTAAGTTCTTGTGCAGAAGGAGGAAAATATTAATGAAAACTAATCCTCACTGTGTGTTAGAGACAGGAGAAGAGGAAGAATAAAGCACCTGGACCAGTGGTGTAGGCGGGTGCCGGGCTTCCCAGGGCAGTGCTGGGCAGCCTTGTCCTGCAGGCAGGGGAGCACTTGCTGCAGCGCCTGGCACCACCCTGGCACCGCGAGGGTCCCCGGCTGTGCGGCTCAGATTGTGCTTGACTTAGGGGAGGCTCTGACCCAGTTTCTCATGAGTGATATTTCGCTATTTATATGTGTAAGAACTGTTTCAGAATTATTAGGGATGAGACTGATGATTGTTCTGTAGGACAAGTACCATGCCCTCTTCCAGCACAGTAAAGTTCATAAATTAAGAGTGAGGAAGAGTTTGAGAGAAGCCTCTTGCTTTTCCATAAACGCAAAGTGAATGTTGAAAAGAATTTGAGGATGCGTGAAGGAGGAAAAAAAAAAAGGCTCCAGAGCAAAATGCTGAAATCTTGCAGGAATGGTTTTAGTGGGAATCTAGCATTGTGGAAAGGCTGTTTGTAGGTTGGAGCCAGAAGATAGATCCAAGTGTGCCATGCTGCTTGGTGACTGGGACTGTGCACATGGCACGTAACTCTCATGTTCTCGGTGTTTTATCCCTCAGTGAATGAGTGTGTTGTTTCTCAGAGTAAGCAGAAGAATCATTTGATATGCTTTTCATAGAAGCACTGTATAGATGTTATAATATTATTTGACATCATAACAATTTAGCAGTTGGGGGAAGAAGCCAGTTTTTATGAGAAATTGTGAAGTGACAGTGGGATTTTTGTTCTGGTTTGTTTTCTATTTGGCGGTCATGCTCTGCTGTGTTCAGAGCTAACTCCTATTCTGTACTCAGAGATCATTCCTGGCAGGGCTCAGAGTCCATAGAGGATACTGGGAATTGAAGCCTGGTCAGCCATGAGAAAGCAAGAGCCCTACCCACTGTACTATCTCTCTGGCCCCAACAGTGAGATGTCTAAGTAGTTTATTTTCATAGGTGAAATGCAGATCTGAAATCTGGCTAATAGGAAAAAGCTAAAGCTTGTTACCATTACAGTGGTATTTGAAATCATAAGATGAGGGGAAGTAGTGATTTCACTGAATGTAAGATCGCTTCAGTGAGTAAGCTGTATGCATGGAGTTTTTATAATTTCTATTTATAGATGCTTATGTGAAAATGTTGTTCATCAGTTTATTGTTTTTCCTCCTTTTAAATTGTAAAGTACATAAGTGAAAGGATGGCATATTTTATTTAATTAATTTTTTTTGCTCTTTGGTCATATCTGGCGATGCACAGGGGTTACTCCTGGCTTGTGCACTCAGGAATTACTCCTGGTGGTGCTCGGAGACCATATGGGATGCTGGGAATCGAACCTGAGTTGGCCATGTACAAAGCAAACACCCTACTGGCTGTGCTATCGCTGCAGCCCCAAGGATGGTATATTTTAACCCATAAGTTCAGAAAAGCAATAGACCCAAGAGATACAGAAAGTAATGTAGTTGGTTATTTTTGTAAACAGAATATATTATTTCCATTGTTCCAGAATCTTAACTAACTTCCTTTTTTTTTTTTTTTTTGTGGGGATGGGGGATGTACAGCAAAAGTCATCATTAAGTCCACAAAAACACCAACCCTCCTTAGATGGTGAGGTAAGTGTGTATATTTTTCTTTAGGGTTTTTTATGATTATGATGGAAATGAAGTGTTTGCATGTGATTATCTTGTGTAGCCATTGATTGTCATTTTTCCTTTTTCATTTTTCCCCTTACAAAATCATACTTGTTAGAAGACACTGGACAGTCTATCTTATCAGCATCTATAAACCTGCTCACATCCATCTAGAGATCCATCCTTAAACTCATCCCACCAGAAGGACTATCTCCTGGTTCTTTTCCATAGCCTGCTCCATAGTGAGGGACAGTGCTGAGGGCTAAAAGGGTGAGTGAGAGTGTGCCAGGGTTTCCTGCTCAGCTTTAGTGCCATGTACAGAGTGTCTTGGTAGTGATTTTACTTTGGATGTATTCAGTTGGTAATATTAAATAATGCATTTTTATTATAGATTAGCGTGTGGAATTAGGGCTGGGATAGTGGCCCAGAGGTAGAACATATGCTTACAGGGGCCTACAATTACTCCCTGGCCCTGCAGGAAAAAAAGTAAGAACAATTGAAAGAAACAGGAAGTTAGTTGCTCAACCGTTAAAAACATCTACACCTATTCTAGTTAAAATGGAGCTTACTAGACGCAAGTTTTCAACATAGTTGGCTTTCCTGTGAAGTTTGTCAAGTTAATGCCTACTTCCTTTTACCCCAACATTTCCTTCTTAATGGTCATTCTGGAATAAATATCTCAAAATTCAAACTTATCAAGAAACACCTATCTCTTCTCCTATATTTTTATGATTTCTACTTGCATGCTTGTAGTTGTTCTGATGAAGGGATTGGGGAGATGCCTAGACTAGGAATCATAATTTTTGAATTTGCTGGGTTTTGTCACTAGTTCATTCAGTAAAGGACCACAGATTCTTTACATTATTGTAATAGCTGTACCTTGCCTTTCTCATCTGTGATCAGGGAATAATTCCTGTGCCGTCCTTGCTGTAAGGACTTTAGAAAGATTTTAGGCAGTAGATCATATTTGAAGTTGTTAAGCTTTTTCAAAGAAAATCATTATTCAGCATTAGCTATTTTGGTGCATGAATTCTAGATGACTGTAAATGTGGTCCTGTATGTCAATATCTTGCCAAATATGTCTTAATATGTCTCTTTGCTTGTGTGTGTGTTTGCAGAATGTGTCCCCTATGTGCATAGTTTGTTCTGACATTGCTCCATCTTTCTCACCTCTCCAGTGCCCCTTTCCGTCCAGAAGGTCTCAGCACACTGATGATAGTGCCTTATTAGTGGTAAGAGCCTTGCACAAAATGGAGATTTATGTGTCTAGAGTTTGGAAAATAGTCATTGTACTGTGCAGTCAGAAGTTATTGAAGTACCATAAAACATGATGAGCATCTTTACTAAGTGTTTTAAAATAGCTACAAATATTTCCTACATGATCCTTGACTCGTCATTGCAGCATTCTGCAACTGTGGTCCAATAATAGCTTTGTTAGTGCTGCCAAGTAAAACATTTACATTGAGAAACATGTTGGCTTTCTTGGGTCTAGTTCTGGATGTACTTTATTATTCACCTGGCTCATGATTTACCTGCTTGTTAAATTCGGAAAAGAAAAGGAAGCAAAGCATCTCACATTTACCCTCCCGTGCCCATTTTTTAAACTCTTGGAAATAGTAACTCGGATGTCTGATGGTCGTTTCTCACACAGGATTGCTTGAATTGCCTGTTTAATCCGTTGAAATGAGTGTAACTTGAGAGTTTCATTAAAAGACTAACCATTTACAAAATTGCTCTCCCATCATATTTGATGCTGTTTTTCATAGTTGTATTGAAAGCATTGAAGAAATCAGACTGTCGCAACTGTGCATACAGACTGCTGCATGAACTGTGTGCTTCAGATGAGATTCCTCCGCTGTGAGCTTCCACTGTCTGTTAAAGTATCAGGGTGCTCTCTAATCCCCATTTCATTTGAGGTGGACAAAGCACATTTTAACTGAACAGTCTTACAGATGAATGCAACTACAGGGCCCCAAAGTGAAACATCATGATAAGCAAATAATAAATTATTGCAGAAAAATGTCAAGAATCAGTGATGAGGGGCCACAAAGATACCCTGGCACCACGTGTGGTCCCCTGAGTTCTGCCAGAGTTGATCCCTGAGCGCCTAGCAGAGAATCAGCCCTGAGCACACAGAGATTCCCAAAAAAGAATGTTTGGTGATTCAAATACTTTGCCAGAATTATTTCATTTATTCCTTGTAGTAGTCTTACTAATTCAGGTTAAAATTACCACCATTCACAAAGAAATCTAAGTGTAGCTGACTTGAGAGTGTGTTAGGGTGCTGGAGTGATGGTTCAGCATCAGGGAGATCGTCCTGTGCCTGCGACTCAGGCGCAGTCCTGCACCTCACTGATTCCCGCGCCCTGCCAGAAGCTTTCCTGAGAATCCTCTCTCTGCTCTGTCAGTATCTTAGTAAACCTTTACAAAATTGTCTATGGTTTCTCCTTTCCTAATGCACACGCCCAGATCTGCCTGCTTGCCTGTTGTTTTATTAATGTAGATGCTGCTGCTTTTTCTCCTTGAATGGACTCTCTTGGGCTGTGTGCCCCGCAGTCTCCCCCCGCAGCTGGAATTCACAGGATGTGGGCGGGCCTGTGTTGGGGCTTCCCCATGGACTGTCGGACAGTCTGGGCTCTCGGACTGCATGAAATACATCCAAGCTAATGAAATTCTTTGAGGTTGATTTTAATTTCATTTGAAATTTTAAAATATCTTGCCCAAAACAGTCATAGAAACTGCATGTAAGCCTAAATAAAAAGCCTATAGTAATTTGCTTCTGGGGGAGGAGTGGAGAGCTCCCCACAAGTGCTCAGGAAACTGGGAGTGCTCCCAGTGGCACTGCACCACTTGTGCAGGTGTGACCATTCAGAGACAGGGCTTCCAGGGCTAAGTCCCTAAGGCTAAGTCCCGCAGTGCACAGGGACAGAACTCAGAGTTCCAGACACACCGGCCTGGGCTCAAACTCTGGAGCTGGCTCCACATCTTTGCTCGGTGTAGCTCCCAGAGGTGCTCAGGGGACCTCAGACCAGGCTCAGGCCCAGGGCTCCCGCGTTTAGTCACCGAAATAACTGCTCTGTCCCTGCCCCTCGGTATGTACTTTGGGAAGATCTTTAGTGATGGTCATTTTAGGAGGATTACCATACAATATGTAAGAAATTATTAAGGGCTAGAAAGAGAGCTTCAGCGGCAGGGCACATACCTTGTATATGGGGATCCCCTCATGCCCCAGAGCAGTACCTGGTGTGGTTCAAAGCTCCACAGTGACCAGGGCCCAGTGAGCCCCTCTGGCTGTGGCCTCTTCGCTTTGTTAAAAAATGAGGGGTGGGGTGCTGGAGAGAAAGGACGGCAGGGAGGGTCCTTGCCATGCATGCAGCTAACCTGGGTGCAATCCTTTGCACCTTATATAGTCCCCGAGCCCCACCAGGAGTAAGCCCTGATCACTGCTGGGTGTGCCTCAAAAACAAAAACAGTGATTAATGATCCTCATTGCAAGGAGGTCCTTCTCCTCTCTGTCACTTTATGGTTTACGTTTATCAGGGTGGAGAGTTCTCATCATCAGCATCTGTTGGTAATAGTCTTCTATAATGGGGCACTCCTGTTCTTCCTGGTATAAACTCTGACCCCTTTCTGTGTCCTCCCAGCCTACTATTCTTGGCAACCTCGTAGGTTCTCACCCCTTAACTGCTGCCTTCACAGCCCAGCCGGACTCTCCCCTTAGGCTCCCCTGCTACTGAGTATGGCACAGGGGCTTCTGGCATGTGTCACTCTGAGCACAGATTGGTGGCATCATTTTTGGATTCTTTGCTCAACATCCATTATAAATCTAAAGACCATTTCCCTATCTCGTTTATTATGTTTTATTTTTTAAAAAAATTAAGTTCTCTTTGAGCAGACTTTTCAAAGGACATAAAATCTTGTAGTATGTCCTTCTAATGTTCGCCTAAACTTTATATCAGTGAGCCTGATAAACCTTTTCTTATTCATTATTAAAGATGCTTATATTTGCTTGATCACTCCTGGAAAAGATTTAGAATTTTTGTTCATATTAACTTTCTGCTGAGTTCCTTATTGGAACCACAACACAGAGTTCATTGCTTTTATCAGATACCTGAGGGCGTTTGGGACTTCTCTCAGAATCATGGTTGAAAAGGGCTAAATCTGAATGTGATCATTGTTTTTTGATATCTCAATTACCTTACATCAGTATGCACTATATTTAGACAAGTTTTTTCTTGTTTTGTTGCTTAATCAACTTAGAGTTAAATTTGTGTCTGTTTCTGAGGTTATTTCTTAACTGTTTTGTTCTACAATTTCATCAGGATTTTTCAGAGATAATTAATGGCCTCAGAGTATTTTGACCTAATTTTTATATGAAGTGATTGTTGTTGTTGTTGATGGTGGTGGTGGTGGTGGTGGTGATGGTTTTTGGGTCACACCTTACCAGCTGTACTAACTCTCTGGACCCATCTTACTTAATTAGGAGAATGTCACTTAGTTTTGCAATTTCAGTGGAAGAACATTTGTTTGTTTGGGGGCCACACTCAGCTGTGCCCAGCTTACTCCTTGCTCTGTTGCTCAGGGATCACTACGGCAAGCTTGAGGGACCTTATGGGATGCTGGGGATCAAACCTGGGTCAGCTTTATACAAGGCAAATGCCATACCTGCTTTGCTGTCACTCTGTATTCCCCCACCCTTCCTCCAAATTTTAAATCATCATTTTGGGGCTGGAAAGATAACGTTTCAAGCTTGTGCCTATAGGCGCGACATTGGCTTGAGCTGCAGCTTCGTTGGGCACGTGGCTCTTCAGAGAAATAAGCAAGATTCAGAGGGCCTGTCTGTTGTGGCTGATTGTTTTTTTGGAATTTTGTGGGGTTTTTTGTATATTTCCTTTCATATTTTTGGAGGTAGAGAGTATTTGCTGTCATGAAGTAAAATTTGTTTCAGCTCTTCTTTCTTGCTTAGAGGTTGCTAACTATTTTTACCATTTTATTCCTTACTATGCTTAAATTTATAGGTTAACTCTTAATAAATTGTTTATATTTTCCCTCCATATCTAGAGTAATCTTTATATCTTTGGGTTTCTTATTTTCTACTGCATTTTTGTTCCTCAAATATCTCTCTCTCTTTACCTTTCTAACCCTTCTCTCTCATGATCTTGAAAATTACTATTAATCTGAATCTTAATAAACATATTCAACTTTTTCCTCATTTGTCTCTTTTTTCCTTTCACTAGTTTTTGCTACACTTAAGTGTAGAAGTTTCTTACGCGTATATTTCGTCTCAATATCTGAAGCAGATTACTAGGCATCTTTAAGCATCCTATGTGTCTCTCGACCTCAGCAGATGTGATGCATGCCTTCTCTGAGTGAGGCTTGCTGTCAATCACTAAGCCCAGGAGTAGCCAGCCCAGGCATCTTTACCACAGCTCTGCCAGGTCAGTCTGAGAACGTTCTCAGTAGCCTGGCTTCTGTGATTTCCCAATATTCACTTTATTTTTTCTTTACCCCATTTCCTTCCTTTTGTCGTCACTATTGCAGTTCCAGGATTTATACACAGCCTGTGTATGATGCTCACACACCAGTGGGAGTGCTGGTCAGACACTCAGCGAGGGTGGATGCTGGTCAGACACTCTCCCGGGTGGGTGCTTGTGTTTGTTTGTTTGGGGGGGTAGTCTACACCCTGTGTTTTCAGGGTCCCTCCTGGCTCGGCACGGCACATAGGAATCACTCTTGGTAGACCCAAGGGACCATATGGGATGCCAGGGTTAAACCCAGGCCATCTGCCTGCCAGGCCAGAACCCTACCCACATGCTCTCTCTCCAGCCCAGTCAGTGCGTTTCCAGTTGAGCTTGCCCGGTGATCAGTGGGAGTGGGCTGTTAGCTATGATGCTTGCTTTGTTCTGCTAGTGCATCAGGTTGCTCTGGCGCTCACTCACCAGAACTATGCTTCTAGTGGTGGTGATCACGCGTCTATTCAGGTGGGATTCTCACTTAGGGGGTGCAGCCTTTTCTTCTTTCTTTTTTTTATTATTTATTTTTTTGTTGACTCACTGTGAGATACAGTTACAAAGTTTTCATGTTTGAGTTTCAGTCATACAGTGATCAAACACCCATCACCAGTGCACATTTTCCACCACCAATATCCCCAGTATACCCCCCCCCACCCCCCTTTCCTACCCTCCCCCTGCCTCTATGGCATTTTCCGCCGTACTCTACTTTGAGGCATTATGGTTGCAATACAGATACAGAGAGGCCATCACGTTTGGTCCTTTATCTACTTTCAGCACACATCTCGCGTCCTGAGAGAGCCATCCCTTCTCTATTCCAGCTGCCTTCTCCCCCAGGCTTCCAACTATGGAGCAGTATTCCTGGCCCTAGTCTCTACTGTCCTTGGGTGTCAGTCTCATGTTATTTTATATTCCACAGATGAGTGCAGTCATTCTATGTCTGTCACTCTCTCTCTGACTCATTTCACTTAGCATGATACTCTCCATGACCATCCACTTAGAAGTAAATTTCATGACTTCATCTTTCCTAAAAGCTGCATAGTATTGCATTGTGTAGATGTACCGAAGTTTCTTTAACCAGTCATCTGTTCTCGGGCATTCGGGTTTTTTCTAGATTCTGGCTATTGTGAACAGTGCTGCAAAGAAAGTACAGGTGCAAATGTCATTTCTACTCTGCTTTTTTGCACCCTTGGATATATTCCCAGAAGTGGTATTGCGGGGTCATATGGGAGCTCAATTTCTAGTTTTTGAAGGAATACCCATATTGTTTTCCAAAAACACCTGGACCAGTTGGCATTCCCACTAGCAGTGAAGGAGTATCCCTTTCTCGAAGCCTTTTCTTTAAGTAGCACCACTGGGACACACCGGATGTGAAACCAGGGCCTGGCAGACAGCACAGCTGCCCGAGACAAACAGCTATTGGGACTGGGCACATGCTCGTGGCAGCCCTGGAGTGAATCAGGCACTGCCCTTCGGAGACAGACTTGAGCCTCTCAGCTGCTCTTTGGGCCTCTTACATATTTGTTTTAGGCACTTAATTTATTGTCACTAATTTCATCTGATCCAACTACAGAGAAAAGACTTCTGAAAATAGTGAAACAGAAAGAGAAAAGAGCATAGAGGATTAGTGTTGTGGGAATTATACTATAGTTCAAAAATATCTGAGTTTAGAAAGAAATAAATGAGTTATTGTAAAATTGGAATATTTAAATATTTAGCTTAACTGGCTGTCATAAAGCCTAAAAAAATCATCTTCCTAGCTCTTCTTGATTCTGCTCCCCATCACATCCTCATTTTATTTAACCTAACCAACCAACATGTCTTTTTTAGTTACCTTAACTGTGTTCTTTTATTTCTTGTATGTATTTTTAAATTTTTGCCAATCCACTACATTTTTTTAAAATTGAATCACCATGAATTAGAAAATTACAGAGCAATTTGTGATTTGGTTTTAGGCGTACAACCCCTTCACCAGTGTCCACTTCCCTCCACCAGTGTGAAGGCGTACAACCCGTTCACCCAGTCAGTCCCCCTCCCGTCCCACTGTCTGCCTCTATGGCAGAGACTTCATTTTTCTTTGTTTTTTTTTCTCTTTGAGGCAGTTTTCCCCCTTAACAATACTGTTCCTGGGCGGGTATCACGCATGTTGCTTTACCTCTTCTCAGCACCCAGTCCTCATCCAGAGTGACGTCTTCCCTCCATCATGCATGTCATGTGGTCCCTGCCCTGCCCTGTCTCTCTGCCACAGGCAGGTTCCTCCCAAGACCAGTTCTCCTTCGCTGTTTCCGTTTGTTGCCTTGGGCAGTTGTTATCCCCGACTCTGTTTCTTTGTATCCCACCTGTGAGAGAGATCATTCTGTCCCTGTCCCTGTTTCTGTCCCTCTGACTCGTTCACGCAGCACGATACTCCTCAGATCCATCCATTTATCAGCAAACCACATGATGTCATCTTTTCTTATGGTCAAGTAGTAGTCCATCGCGTAGATGTGCCGTATCCCGTCATCTGTTCTTGAGCACTCGGGTTGTTTCCGGTTTGGCTCTTGCGAACAGTGCTGCGGTGAACATAGGGGTGCAGATGGCTTTTCTGCATCGTGTTTGTGGGCTCTCGGGCTATTTTCCCAGGAGAGGAATTGCTGGATTGTATGAAATTTCAATGACTATTTTTGGAGAAATGCCCATATTCTCTTCCTTAAAAGCTGGACAAGCCGACATTCCCACCAGCAGCGAATGGGGGTTCCTTCCCCCCACATCTGTGTCAGCACCAGTGGTGGTTGTGCTTTGGATGTAGATCAGTCTCTGTGGTGTGAGATGGTATCTGACTGTTGTGATTTGCATCTCCCTAATGATTAGTGAAATAGAGCATTTTTTCATGTGCCTTTTGGCCATTTGTATTTATTTTTTGAGGAAGTATCTGTTCATCTCTTCTTCCCGTTTTTTCATGGGGTCGGATGTGTTTTTTTCTCGTAAAGTTCTGCCAGTGCCTTATCTATCTTGGCTGTTAACACTTCATGTGATGAGTGGTTGGCAGATAGTTTCTCCCAGTCTGTGGACTGTCTTTGTATTCTGGCCATTGTATCTTTTGAGGTACAGAAACATCTTAATTTAATGCAGTCCCATTTGTTTATCTTTGCTTCTGCTTGCTTGGTCAGTGTTATTTCATGCTAAAAGATGCCATTAGCTTTAGTGTCATGGGGAGTTTTCCTCCATGTATCTTATGGATTCAGGTCTGATACAGAGGTCTTTAATCTATTTTTAATTTGACTTTTGTGCATGGTGTTAGGAAGAGGTCTGAGTTTATTTTTTCCATGGGGCTGACCAATTTTCCCAGCCCCACTTGTTGAAGAGGCTTTCTTTGTCCCACCTCATATCTTTTTCTTCTTTATTGACTTGAGGATCTGTTTCTGGATTTTCAGTTCTGTTTCATTTATCTGAGGTTCCTTATTTATTCCAGTATACCATACTGTTTTAATTATTACCACTTTGCAGTGCAGGTTGAAGTTTAGGAAAGTGACGCCGCCCATCTTCTTTTCCTCAAGAATTCTTCTGGTTGTTGTGTGTGTGTATTCTGAGGTTCAGGCTGTGTCTGGTGTCACGGGCTGTTCCTGCCTCTGTGTTCAGGGGACTGCACAGTCTCCTGAGCCCCTCACAGCCAGCCTGTAGGGCTGTGACTTCAACTCCACCTTTGTGTCCACGTCCGTTTCATACTGATTGGGCGGCGCCTCCTTGCTCAGTAAATTCCATACATCTTGCACTTGATTACTAGTCTGGAAATATAGTTGTTGGTCATCTTTAAATAACTCATTTCCCAACTAAAATCAAGAAAGCTCTGTCATTTCATAGCACTTGACATTTTATTCTGGGGATTGGGGGAAAGGGTACCTTAGCAACTACACCAGAAAAGATTCTATCCTAAGATAAAGTCTATTTCTTCCTTAAGTATGATCATTTTTCACTATTGCAGGAAATCTCTTTGGTAAAATTTTAGAGAATGAGTTATATAGGCCTTGAATTCTAATGAATTTAAATATTTGGTCTTAAACATAAAAAATCAATTCATTATACCTACTTTAAATATCTAGACAGTATAGAAAAGGAGTTCCATTTTTTTTCCTCCCATAATCCGAGTTATCATAAATGTGATAGGTGCCTCTTCCTGAATTATAACGTATACATATTTATTATTCCACAGAATGGTGACAGGTCTAATGCTGTATCAAGTTTACCTGCAACAGAAACAGGTAATAAACACAAAAATTTATTTTAAGTATGTCAAAATTATAATGATATAATAGTTTCCTGAGAAATTACTTGTAAGATAGCTGTGGTGTTTTTTATTTGTAAGTTTACTTCAGCACCAGAGTGTAGGTTTCGTGCGTGACCCCTGCACGGCAGTGTGGTCCCCCCCGCCCCTTAAGGCTGAGGCAGTGCACAGGGAGGGTGCTTCCCTGCATGCAGCCGACTCGGGCTTCATCCTGGCATCCCCTATGGTCCCCTGAGCATCACTGGGTTGGACCCAAAAAGCCAAAATAATAAAAATGATAATAAAGGTAAGACTTTTTTTTTCCTGAGATGGGAAATCAGACACAAAATTGGGAATTGGTGATTCTATTACCACTTCAAGATGAACAAATGAGCATGAGCTGGTGGAACTATCAGTTTGTAAGAGAATACATTCAGTGTGCTGCATTCATTCTGTACAAACTGATTGCCATGATGACTGAAAGTTAAAAATACTTAGAAGTAGAGACCAGAGAGATTGTGTGCCAGGTAAGATTGTGTGCCTTGTACCTGTCTGACCTGGGTTTGACCTCCAACATCGCATAGCCAGATGTTGTGCCATTCCCCAAAAAAGTTCTTATAAACAGCCTTCCTGATTCAGAGTTACTTTTCTGTATGAGATTTCACATTATTAAACAATAATTATTTTACATTATTTATCATTGCCATATTTGATTTTCATTTATTTATGCAACTTTTGTAATGGATGCTTGTTGCTATATTTACATTTTTTTTCCATTTTCTTTCATCTTGTTTTGCTGATTTAGTTCACCGTTCTCCTGCATATTCTTTCCCTGTTACTACCCCAAGAAACCAACCCCAGCGCCCTGATAGCTTCCTTTTCCGAGCAGCTGTAAGGGCAGAACCAAGTAAAGGTGGGTGGTAGAAACTATTTTCAATTTTGGGAAGGGGTGGTCAGGGGGTTAACCCCTTTATATGATATTGACTGCTACATGCATTTTAAATCTTACCCTAATATCATCTTGGCAAATGCTTTAATGAGTTTTTCTGTGGTCTCGCTGATGTTAAAGCAGGAGAGGTTTATTCTTTGTAAATGTTATTTTAGGTGCTGCAGTTTATAATTCTGTTAATGATGGGCTTCAGAAGGCACAGCACGATCCAACACAGCATCTTCCCTGAGTGTCTGCTTCCCTAACGCTGAAAGCTCAGACTTGAATCTGTTTTCATTAGAAAGTTTCTTAGTATCAACTAAAAGCAGGTTATATTTTATTTAAATGAATTAAGTAAAATTCTTTGACAGGCTGTCCAGAGCTGTGTTCTCCAACCTTCATCCATCTGAGACTGGCACTGGTCTGTGGAGTTAAGGCCGCCAAGCTGGCGTGGATCATGCCTCTGACCTCTCTTGATTGTCACCCCCTTCTGGCTTTGTCTCCCCCATCCTATCAGTTGACCCCAGTCTCACATTGTGACCCTCTGTTCACGTGACCTTCACCTGTGGGCCCCTTGCAATACATTGGGGACCCGAAGGAGGCCATGTGCCACCAGTTCCTCTTTGAAAAAGTTATTTTTCAACTTTTCTTATGATAAAAACTGATTTCTGTGTTCTTTAAGGAGTTCATCTGTTTTGTGTGTGTGTGAATTATCCTTGGCAGTGCTCAGGGTCAACTCTGGGCTGTGCACTCAGAGATCATTCCTGGCGGGCTCTCAGGACCACATGGGGTGCCTGGCATTCGACCCATGTGGGCCACCTGCAAGGCAAGCACCCTTCCCGCTCTATCTCTCCAGCCCTAAAGAAGCTAATCTTTTTTAATCTACTAAGACGTGTGCTTTTTAGTTTATCATGGCCAATTTTTGTCTGCCTCCCCCATCAAAGATGTTAGTTGGAAATAGAAACAAACATATCAGGTCCAAAATGAATAGCTCTACTTGGGGCCAAGATATTCAGCCCACTGCTCTGGACAGCTTAGTGTAAGGACCCTAAATATGGTACTGTTCAGCCCTGTGGTGCTAGGGACCTTCGGGGCCATCCTGGCAGTGCAGGTGTGGGGGCTTGGGGAAACTATGTAGTATTGGGGGGTTGAATCAGGTCCTTTGCACATCTAATCCCTGTGCCTTCTCCCCAGCCCCCCAAAAAACTTTTTTTTGCTATTTGGGTCACACCCAATGCACAGGGGTTACTCCTGGCTTATGCACTCAGGAAATATTCCTGTCAGTGCTCAGGGGACCATATGGGATGCTGGGAATCAAACCTGGATCGCCCACATGCAAGGCAAATGCACCACCCACTGTGCTATCGCTCCTGCCCCCAAAACAACTTTTTTTTATGTTCTCCTTTTTAATGTTTATTTTTTATGTTCTACATTTTTTAAAAATTTTTATTAGTGAAACACCATGAGTTACAGTTGTAGACGTACAACTTTTCGTGCTTGGGTTTCAGTTATACAAAACAACTTTTAATGTGACTAACAGACAAATTACAGTGAAATTTAAAATCAAGCCAGAAATCCCTGCTGTTTGGTTTGAAAATTAGGATAACTGCTATTATTGAACCTATGACCAGTGACTTCCTTCTGAAAGATTTACAAGTATATTAAAAGATAGGTGTAAGAATATTCCTGACAGGGCCAGAGAGATAGTGCAGGAGATCAGGTTCCTTCCTTCCATGTGGTGACCCCGGTTCCAGTCGCCAGCACCACATATGATCCCTTGAGTACTGCCAGGGTCACACCTGAGCAGGGAGCCAAGAATAGCTCCTGAGCACCACATGGTATGATCCCCAGAACTAAAAATAAAGAGCCCCAAACTAAATGTTCACAATGATAGAATGGATAAATAATTGTGATTTATTGGTACAGTGAATATGGTATCACATAAGCAGTGAAAATAAGCAAATTAATATATATTAATATATAGCTGCATATAATTTAAAATGCAATTGAGGGGCTGGAGAGATAGCACAGCGGGTAGGGCATTTGCCTTGTACGCGACACACCCGGGTTTGATTCCCAGCATCCCATATGGTCCCCTGAGTACCGCCAAGAATAACTCCTGAGTGCAGAGCCAGGAGTAACCCCTGTGCATCACCAGATGTGACCCAAAAAGCAAAAAAAAGAAAAAAAAATATAATTGAATTAAATCCAGTTAGAAAAGCATAGATAGATATATCCAACCTGGTTTTATTTAGAGCAAGTTCAAAAATTGGCAAAATGTATGGTGTTGACAAATACTGAATGGTGGATGTCACCTCTCTGTGACTTAAAGACTCACAGGACATGGGCAGTGTAGAGAGGTATAGCTCTATAGCTAAACCACAAAGCCAGCAGCACAGGGAGCGAAAGCCAGCCTAGGAGAAGCAGACTGACTGCTGGGGCCAGAGAGATGGGATAGCCAGTGGGTCCTTGCCTTGCATGACGCGGACCCAGTTTTGGTCCCTGTACCTCCTATGGTCCCCGGAGCCTCCACCAGTGTTTTTGAGTGCCGATCCAAGGGTAAGCCCTGAGTGTGGCAGGCTGTAGCCCAGAAAAACCACACATTCTAAAAAAAAAAAAAATTTGTCCGTTAAGGAAGCAGACTTAGGGGTGGGAGGGAACTTGGGGCCGTTAGTAAAGGGAAAGTGATGCTGGTGGTGGGATTGGTATGGAATATTATATGCCTGAAACTCTACTACAACACCTTTGTAAAACATTGTGCCTTAATGAAAAGAAAAAAAAAAGAGGCCTTAAAAGTCTGGGAAATGAATTGTTAGGATCTGTGGTATTAGAAGTAGCATTTGGGTACCAGTTGGCAGGAAGCTTAAAAGCGTATAGGTGTTGATGTCACTTTTATTGACCTGGTTATATATACTCTCTCATGATAATTGTAATTTTTTCCATCATGTGTTAACTTTTTTTTTTTTCCTTTTTGGGTCACACCTGGCGATGCTCAGGGTTTTCTCATGGCTCTGCACTCAGGAATTAACTCCTGGCAGTACTCAGGGGACCATATGAGATGCTGGGAATCGAACCCGGGTCAGCTGCATGCAAGGGAAATGCCCTACCCGCTCTGCTATGGCTCCAGCCCCAATATGTGTTAACTTTTCAAGAAGAGTTCAAGAATTTTTATTGTGGGGTTCAAGCCCAATTCAGTCAACTTAATCAATGGCTGAATAAGTAGCAGTACTCCTACTGCACTGCACTGTCCTCCCATTGTTCATCGATTTGCTCGATTGGGCCCAGTAACATTTTGAGACCTGTTATTGCGTTTGACGTATCGAATATGTCACGGGTAGCTTGCCAGGCTCTTCGAGAGGGATAGAAGAATCGAACCTGGGCCAACCAGGTCGGCTGTGTGCAAGGCAAACGCCTTAACTGCTGTGCTATCACTCCAGCCCTGTATTTTTTTTAAAAAAGTTTTTATTTACTGTAGTCAATCGGCAGTAGTTGGAGTCCAAAGGATATGATGGACATTTGGTCATTTGTTTTTTGTTGTTGCTGTTTTAGTCACACCCATCCCACACCAGTGCTTAGGGCTGACTCCTGGCTCTACACTCGGGGGTCACTCCTGGCCATGCTAAGGGACTATATGGAATGCCAGGGATCGAACTTGGGCTAGCTGCATGCAAAGCGAACACCCTAGTCTCTGTACTGTCTTTCTTGCCTGCAATTTGGTTGACTTTTTATGCCATTTTCCCTACTATCACATATATTTTAAATTTTTCATAATAAAAACTTTTGCTTGGGGGCCACACCCAGCAGTGCCAGGGTTTACTTGTGGCTCTGCACTCAGGGTTCTCTCCTGGTGGTGCTTGGGTGCTGGTGATCAAACCCGGATTAGTGCATGCTTGTTAAGTGCCCTGACCGTGGTACTCTCTCTCAGGTCCATAAGAAAAACTTTCTTACAGTCCTGGCCTGACAGTGCAAACCTGATGAGTCTGGTGCAAGGGTACGCAGTGTATGTCGTGCTGTTGGGGCCGGGGGCCTCAGTGGTGGCATTGGAGAATTAATTCTGTTCATAATCAGACAGATTTAAATTGTTTATAGCATTTGAGTATCACCTTTATGGCTTAAACATTGTTTGTTTGTTTGTTTGTTTAAGGTTTACCCCTTTCATCTTCTGTACCTACCACAGATTCTACAGAATCCATAACAAGAGAGAATTCAAGGCAGAGAGAAGAGGAGCTGGAGTTAATAGATCAGCTTCGGAAAGTATGTATATTACCTTTGAGTTGCTTGGGGGTCACACTGGGGCCAGTCCCCAGCAGTGCAAGCACCTGGACTGTTTCTCAGCCCCTGTGCTTTCCTCAGTAATTGTAACTTGTAATTGTGTTCATTTGACTTACAATTTTTAATAACGATTGTGTGATGACTAAAAAATTAATTTTGCTATTTTGTGTTTGTAACTTCTTTGGAAAGATGTGAGAGGGATGTTGAAAGAGAACACTGACTTCTCAGAGTGGAGAGACAAGAAAGGAAACACTAGCGAGACCTGTGCAGGGCCTGGGGGGGGAGGTTCTGCTGATAAGGAAATGAGACGGACTATCCCAGGAACTCATTCCCTTGCCTGTATTTTTAAACCCTTTTCTGCTCTGTAGTGTAAAGATGTCTCATAGGGAGCCAGAGAGGTAGTGTACTATCTACGTGCTTGGTTTGGTGTGCATGCAGGAGGCCCAGGTGTGAACCCCAGGGCCTCTGGGTGTGACCCAGAACACAGGACCGGAGTAGTTCAGCCAAGCACTGCTGGGTCTAACCCAAAAAACAGAAAAGGAAATCTTACAAGGAATAGTAATTTTTACACACATATATATATATTTTAGAAATATATATATAAACATATATATATTTTACAAATATATATATATTTTAGAGCTGAAAAGACACTCTTATTTTCTTTTTTTGCTCTTTTTTGGGGGGTCACACCCGGCAATGCACAGGGGTCACTCCTGGCTCATGCACTCAGGATTACTCTTGGCGGTGCTCAGGGAACCATATGGGATGCTGGAAATCGAACCCGGGTCGGCCGCATGCAAGGCAAACGCCCTACCCCTGTGCTATCGCTCCAGCCCCAAGACACTCTTATTTTAATCAGAAATTGAAAATGAATTTCTGTTGTATATTACTCCACTTTGACCTGGCTCTCATACACACATATTGGAGCTCCTTAAGACTGACTCAGGAGGATAAATTAGGGGTGCTGGTACTTAAGTAATCCGTTTTTTAATCTTGTATTTCTAACTGAAGATAGTCCTATTTAATCTGTCAGTCACTCTTCAATTAATATTACATATTTCCTTGTTTTGTTTTAGCATATTGAATATCGATTAAAGGTTTCTCTGCCTTGCGATCTTGGATCAGCACTCACCGACGGGGTTGTTCTTTGCCATTTGGCTAATCATGTGCGGCCACGTTCCGTCCCAAGCATTCATGTTCCCTCACCGGCTGTAGTAAGTTTATAATTTTAAAAAATGGTATTTATTCATTATACATATGTGAAATAGAATGGTTGACATGCTGAGTACAGGGGATGCATATTTGGATGCTGTCAGCCCTGCCTTTTGGGTCTCCCCTCTGCAGAGAAAAATCAGCTCTATTGCATCATTTATAGCACTCCAATAAGTGTTATGAGAGGTGGGTGAGAGTATGCTATGGGAATGCAGAAAATGGGACTGCTTGACTGCCTGGAAAGTTGAGGTAAGATTTCTCAGATGAGGTAAGATTTGAACTGATTTTTTTTTTTTTAATTTTGGGCCACACCCCATGGTGCTCAGGTGTTACTCCGGGCTCTTCACTAACAGGTGACGTCACCCCTGATGGGGCTTAAGGCACCATATGGGATGCTGGGGATCGAATCTGGGCCAGTTGCTTGCAAAGCAAGCATCTCTTTCCTGTGTTGTTGCTCTGGCCCCTTGAGCTGATTCTTGAGGAATGAGGAGGAGTTTGCTAGTTACACAGAGTGGAAGTCTTTCAAGACATAGTAGTCATCGACTTAGAAGCAGAGAGAGATCATGGTCCATTCAAGGAATTCTTAAGTTGTTCTTGTCTAGGTCACTATAGACAGTCAGGAAACAGCTAGAGCGACTAGCAAGGGAACCTGTAAGGTCAGCATCAGAGACTCACAGGAATTAGAGCCTTGGGATAGACAGTGAGGAAATATGGAATAATTTAGAATCAAATGACTATAATTGAGTACAAAATATTGAGTGTTGGTGATAGTACAGTGGGTGGAGCATTTCCTTTTGACCCAGGTTCGATCCCCGACACCACAAAAGTTCCTTTTGAGCTCGCCAGACGTGTTTCTCTTTCACAGAGCCAGGACTGTCTCCTGAGCATATCCAGGTGTGGCCCAAAAACCAAAAAATAAATAAAATAACATGTTGAGTATTGGAAAGGAGCAATAATACAGTGGGTAGGCATTTACCTTGCACTTCGCCAAGCAGGATTTGAACCTGGCACCCCAAATTGACCCCAGGCCTGTCAGGAGTGATCCTTGAGCTCAAGGTCAGGAGTAAGCCTGCATTTCTGGCTTAAAAACTAAAATAAAATGCTGAGTATTTTGAGGGTGGAATTGACATGATTCAGTACTGTAGTAGAGACGGTATAGCCTTGGATGGAAGACAAGGGAAAGAAGTAATTCAGCATGACAGATGGTTTTCCTTAGGCTGCTGGTCCTGTCTGGGTGTTAATAGCAAGATTTCGCCCCATAAAAGAAAGAGCAAACTGTGGTTGATTATTTTCTCCTGTTTTTCTCTAACAATATTTTTATTATGAAAGTTTTCAGACCTGTTGAAAATCTGAAAATAATGCCTAAGCAATTGCAAACCCTTAGACATTTGTCTTGCTTTGTTTATGTTTGCATATGTTATTTTTGGTAAAGAAGTGATGTGATCTGCACTTCAGTGCTCACCGTAGGATCCAACTCAAGTCAAGAAGTTGGGGGCACCTCAGAGCCATTTCAGTGGCAGGAAGTATAGGGAGAAGAATAGGTGGACTCACACTCAGGCTCGATCAAAGAATCCCGGGGAGGTGCCAAGAGAATCCACAGTTAGATTCCAGTTTTCCCATTGTGCTAAAAGGGTTTTTCATAGCATCTTCCCACCACACACACACATCCAAATAATCAAGGTTCACAGGACCTTTCTGGGTCCTGTGCATTTGTCACTTAGTGTCTAACCTTTCCAGAAGGGCTGGCCTGCCTCCTTTTTGGGCCATCTGTTATTATGTAGCAGCTAGTTCCTGAGCAAAAAAAAAAAATTTTTTTTCCAGATTTGTCAGGGAAGCTTCAAATTTTTATTATAGAAAATTTCAGACATATGCCAAAGTAGAAATCATAATACAAGGAGTTTTCATGCACTTTATCACTAACTAGAAGTCAGCATCTTGGCTTGCTTCATCCATACTAACACTTCCAAATCTCAGATCTCATACCAACTGTTTCCTGATTTTTCTTACCATAAAAATGACCACTGGTATACAGTGAGGGATGTCGAATCTTTTAAAAAGAAATTGAGAAAAGTGGTGTTGTTTCCAACTATTCCGTTATAGTTCATCTTTGTCATTGTGAGGAGATCAATGATGTGTGACCCACTGTCATTTGTTTTTTCACTAAGCGTAGGTGTCATGAAGTACAAGTGTACTGTTAAGAAATGTTTAAAATCATTAAAACATGAATGAACCATGTCACCAAAGAGGATAAGTCCAAAAGCATTCAGAATCATTTCAGTCATTCCAGTAGATCAGAGAGAGAGTTCAGAGCTGGTGGCCTCACCCTGCATGCTGCTGACCAGGGTTTGATTCCCAGCACCCTGTAAGGTCCCCAGGGCCCCTCCAGAGTTGATCTCTGAGCACTGCTGGGTGTGTCCCCAGCCCTCTCCTCTGCCCCAAATTAATATCCTCAATAGCAAAATATTATTCCTTGCTCTTATGGGAGATGTCCTTGTTGAAATTACTGTGTTTCCACTTTGTAAGAGTTCTTATTCAGGCAGTCTGTATGTTACAGAAGCAACACGCTCCACATGGTTTTCAAAACCATAGACTGTCATCTGAGGCTCTAGAAAGTCTTCTGAGGATAACAGTTCCCCTGAGGCCTGTCCACACGACAGAGTGCTGGGCTCCACCGTGCGCCTGCAGAGACGCAGCCCTGCCTGGAGTCTCCATCGGGGCTTCGAGGGCTCCTGAACACCTACCTAGGTGTGCGCACTTCACATTGTCATGGTAGAACATTCTTACATGACGTCATTAGTAAACATTTTCATTCTATAGAAAGGAGCTGTGTCTCAGTTAGAAAACACTGACCCAGATCCCTGGGATGGGAGAAGTGCTGAGAGGCTGATGGGTGGGGGCCCCACTCTTGCCTTCCTGTTAGGTCTCTCTGTGGGGGGTTCTGCCTCACACGTGCCTCACGGAGATCTGTCATTGCTCTGGACCTTCTTTTCCTTTACTTTTGTCAAATTCAGTGGAGACACTTAAACCAGTTTTTTGTTGTTTGATTCTTTTGACCTAGCCCCTGGGTTCTCTTGTTTGCTAAAAGCATATCCATGGTTGCCCCTGTGTACACTCCAACCTTCTCTTCCAAATCTAGACCAGAATCCTGGTTTGCTTAGCAAAGTTCTTATAGTGAAAGAAGTCAAGTGTATTGTTTCCTCTTCCTTTCCTAGGAGACAGAAAAGGAAAGTGGTACATAGAGAAAGAATTCTTAGCAAAGAATATGCTAAGTAAAAAGCAGGTTCTTTTTTCCTTTTTTTGGGGGGGGGGGCATCTCTCTTAAAATTAATTAAGCTGGAGCGAACGCTGGGGCCAGAGTGATAGCACAGTGACAGTGTGTAGAGCATTTTCCTTGCATGTGGCCGACCTGGGTTCAATCCCTGACATCCCGTATGGTCCCCTGGGTACCGCCAGGAATAAACACTGAGTATAGAGCCATGAGTAAGCCCTGAGCACTATTGGGGCTGCTTTTTTTTTTTTTTAAAGTGAAAAAGATTTTATTTGGAGGTTTTTGAAGGGAAGGAGGGAGAGAAAGGAAGAGAGTGGAGAGCAACACGCTCAAGGGAAATTGCAGGCTTCCTAAAGACGGAGAAGCCCCTACACATAGACCCCAGCTCGGAGATGGAAGCATGAAAGTCCACATCTCAACAGGGGAGATGCAGGTGACACCCACGCTCGGCCATCTGGGCGCAAGCAACATGCACCCGTGACAGTTCTCTTCTGCCCAAGCCCCCTTAGCTCCCTCTTGCCAGGAACTCAGAAGACCTTATTGCTAGCGCAGTGGACAGCCTACTCTTCCACAGGGAGAGGCAGAAGGTCCCAGTTCTAGGGCTAGATGGGGGATGTGACTTAGGAGTGAGGGGACATGCAGAGGGCTTGAGTTTGAACTCTGCACCACTTGGCCCCAGAGCATTCCCAAGATGGTCCTGATGGTTACAGCCTGTGCCGGGTCCGAGCACTGAAGCAGTGAACCCGTTTCTGTGCCCTCCCCCAGACAGACAAAATCCCAGCTCCAGGAAATAACCAGTGTGACCCCGGTGCTGCCAAGTTCATGATTCTATTTATATCTCACTTTTTTAAAAACCTGTTACGAAAGAATCTGGTTTGGCAAGAGATGTGGCTCCTCATCCTAATTCCTCATTTTTCCCTCCATCCCACACTGCCTTCTCTTCTCTTGCTAAATAAATCCCAGTGCTGCCTTCCTTAGACTGAGATTCAGAACTTCAAGCACTGGTATGCATTTATCATTTTCTCACTTCAGTGACAGAGTTTCTACTATGCTGTTTTTTTTTCTGTTGAGCCACACCCAGTACTGCTTCTGGCTCAGCGCTCCAGGACCACTCCTGCAGGGCTTGGGGGACCATATGAGGTGGCAGGAATCAAACCCACATCAGCTGTGTGTAAAGTAAATGCCCTGCCTGTCACTCTGGCTTTCTATTACAGCTTTGAGAAAACCCGAATATTCATAAGGAATACCTTTCTGACCTAGCAAAGAGGCAGACTTGTAATAACTGTGAAACCTCTAGGTCAGAGTCCCTGCCAGCACGTGCTTCCAGACCTGGTGCTGAATGTCTGAAACCAGCCATAATAAAATGGTTAAATTTTTTCAGCATTTTGGAAAATGAAATTTGTATTTCTGACGTTATAACCTACTAGACAAAAACCTTACGATACAAATCTTTTCTTCTAGTTATTAATGATCATTTTCCAAAACAAGCTCTCTTGTTTGTAAGAAAATTGTGTTTTCAGAGAACCTTTAAAGAAATATTTAAAAGCCTGTAGAAAATAGGTTCTTTTAGAGAGTCTTTTGAAATTTGAAGATTGAAAAAAAAATCTCTACCATTGAGTGGAAACATCTGGTGCTCTGCAGTACACTGATGAGCAAAATGCTGTTGGTTTTTAATTATCATACTTTAAAAAGACAAATTAAGTGAATCAGTTCTATGTAGGAGTAGCTATTTATTCAGCCACTGATTAGGCTGATTGAATTGGGCGTGAACTCCACCTATTTTCTTTTTTTTTATATATAATTTTATTTATTGAATCACCATGAGAGTAGTTACAAAGCTTTCAGGTTTAAGTCTTGGTCATACAATGAAACACCCATACCTTCACCAGTGTCCATTCTCTACCACCAAAAACCCCAGTATATCCCCATCCCACACCCTCCCCCTACCTGTGGGGCAGATGATTTCACATTACTCTCTCTACTTTGATTACATTCATTATTTTGACACCAGACCCACCATTATTATTTAGGATTTTACCACAACACTCAGATCTGCCGAAAAGGCAACAGTAGACAGTTTGTTTTCTATTGCTGGTTATGAATAACATATGTCGCACTGCCACAGTAGTGGCCGCACAATTTTGAAATTCCGAAATTTTAACAATTAAATCTGGAGGGATTTCTGCCAAAACCTGCTGGTTTCTGAGATTTGTTCCTGAGTCTCTTGGATCACGGCCGTTAAGCAGCTTGATCAGGAGCCAGAGAGGCCATTCGTGGGCGGCAATTTGGGGTCTCGTTGGGGTGCAGAGGAAGGGGCCGGCTCTACTCCCATCCTGTGAGGCCCCACGTGTCTCGACACTAAGGGCCCAAACCTGACTGTCTAATGGCCTCTGGAAGATGGCGGCCACCGAGCCGCCTAAGGGGAGCAGGCGGAGGGACAGCACCCATTCCCCCCTGGGGTGGCCCAGCAACAATAACCTACTGCTGGGTCCGGGCACATTTCTGCCAAAAGCTGCTGGGTTTCGAGATTTATTTCTGAGTCTCTGGGATCATGGTCTTTAAGCAGCTTGATCAGGAGTCAGAGAGGCTGTTCATGGGCGGCGACTCCAGGTCTCCTTCGGACGGGGAGGAAAGGGCTGGCTCCACCCCCATCCTGTGAGTCCCCACGTTTCTCGTCACTGTGGGCCCAAACCTGACTATCCAGTGGCCTCTGGAGGATGACGGCCACCAGGTCGCCAGGGGGAACCGGCCAAGGCGCGAAACCTATTCCCACCTGGGGTGGCCTGGCACCAGTAACCTACTGCAGGTACCGGATGAATTTCTGCTAAATGCCGTTGGGTTTCGAGATTTGTTTCTGAGCCTCTGGGATCATGGCCGTTAAGCAGTTTGATCAGGAACCAGCAAGGCCATGCCTCCAATTATACAGCTGAGCCCAAGGTGGTTTGTGTGTGTGTCTCTCACATACCTAACTTTTGGCCGTTTACTTTCTTGGTAAACTTTTGCCCCAAGTTTTTGGGGTTTGGCCAAAGGCACAGCAGCAGTTTTGGGGTATCTGGAAGTCTGAAGGCACCATCAGGCTGCTGATGCACTCGCGTCACAGGTACAAATTGACCTGCTGGCGGCACCATACCCCCCTGCATTTATTCTTTTAAAGTTGAAAAAAATTTTAGACACCTCTCCCCCTAAATTTCTCTATTTTTAGGTGCTTATAAAAAAAAAAATCAAAGCCCAGTGTTCAGAGTGAACAAACAAGGTCCATAAGCCAGAACAAACTCCTAACAGAGTTAGTTGTCTTGGGACAGTCTGGTTGCTTTCCAGCTATTAAAAGTTAGCAAATTTTTCTAAAACTTTGTTAGTAATACCACATTTTTCTTTCTTCACAGCCTAAGTTAACGATGGCAAAGTGCAGGCGAAATGTGGAGAACTTCCTGGAAGCTTGCAGAAAAATTGGTGTGCCTCAGGTAATAAAATGACCAATTTAGGCAAATTTTATATTGCCATGATAAATTTGGGTATTATTTTATTAATCTTTAAGAAATCCCAGTATCTAAAATTGTGTAGGATTAGCGCTAAAATAAGTTGATGCTAACATGATTTTGTTGCTGGAATCTAAACAGTTTTCCTTACTTATTTCCAAGAACCAAACAAATGAAACATGCACATGTAAATTTAAATAATTTGTAATAAGTAATACTGAGTAATCAAAATAATAGTTTTTCCAAATATTCTTACTTGTTTAACTTGGCGTAAGGTTTCAGACACTGTAGAATCTGTTTTTTAGACAAGCACAGTGCTCATTGAGAAGTCCTCCTTCGGCTTCAAGGTTATTTTCATTAATTTTTTTAAATTTTAGAGTGGCCATTCCTAGTGGTGCACAGCCTGCAGTATGGGCTTGATGTGGTGTCAGTTTTTTAATACTTAAAATGGGACCAAAGAGACAGTAAAGAATTAAAGTGCTTGACCTGCGTGCTGCCAGCCCCACCACCGGGTCCCACGTGATTCCTCACACACCATCAGGAGTGATCCCTGAGCACCACTGGGTCTACCCCAACTCTGATCCCGGCTCCCCACAAATGTTCATTTGAAGTAATTTTAAATTTAGAGAAATGTTGCAAGTACAGCAGAGTTCCTGTAAGGATTTCACCCAGTTCCTGTGCTGCAGACATCAACATAGTCTGTAGACGAATACACGAAACACTGGGATGAGGCATCGAATATATCACAGACTTTCAGATTTAATCAGTTTTTCTACTCTGCACTTCGGCTCTTAGCACAGCAGAGGCGTTGCTCTGGAGGCGTGTGGCTCCCCGATCCTCAGTCACAGCTTCAGATGCAAACACCTAGCCTTGACTCACTCACTGAGCTTCAGACATGCTTAAGGGATATGCACGTGATGTTTGTATGTGGTATTTTTATTCCATTGCACAAGCCTTGGTTTGGTCCCCTGCATTACATGGTCCTCCGGCACTACCAGAGGCCGTGGCGCCCCCAAGGAGTGCTCAGGAGCCCCCACTCTCCCAGTGTTTAATCGATTATGCGATGAAGAACTATTATGCTTAATGACATGCTATATGAGTAAATTTAAAGGAATGGACAACAGTGGTGCCTTTTGCTACCTTTTTTTTTTTTTCAACTACGACCTTTAGTTCTGGTCATCATAGTTTGTTCAAGAAGAATATATTCCAAGAAAAAAGACGAATTTTCTGTTACCTTCATTAGCTGTCTGAAGCCCAAATGCGGCCATGTCCACAATCCAGTGTCCTCTTGAAGACAGTGCTCGTGACCGCCTGTAAGAGCTGGAGGCGGGCCGGCAGCCTTCTCCTCAGCCGCAGGCAGCTGCACTAGTCAGGAGCATCTTCACCGTTACCTGAGTATTCAACTGAAATTAACACGTAGTGTTCATCATCAAGGACTTTTCTGTTTCTCTTTATACCCTTTTTCTATGGAAATATTCAGTGATTTTTTTTTTAATTTTTCCACCATAGTCTCTCTAAAAGCTTACCTCTGTGAACACAAACCATCTTTTCTGACCCAGTGCAAGCGTGAGTAGGGCTCTAGGCAGAGGCATTGTTTCATCTGCACGACAAGTCTGGACCCGACTTCCTGGGGATGGCCCCTCACACGCCCACCAGCTCCCCAGTTCTGTGCTGCAGACTTTGAAGAGAGAACATGAACTCATGTCCAGTCAGTCCAAGGAACGGAAGGCGGGAACACAGCCGAGTGCTGAAGGCAGACTGGAGGCGGGTCAGCCTCGCATGCACCGGCCTGGGTTTAACCTCTGATGCATGCTCGTGCACTGAGGCACCACATGCATGAAGGCCCAGCGCTGCAGTGTTTCCACACAGCCTGTCTTGCTCCTGACACCCTTGGGCCCTCAGCCCTGGAATGGTCCTCGTTGCCCAAATTACAGCCATTGTGCATGTATTTGGTGTTGACAGAACCATCCTCCACTGGTTCAACCATCCATTCAGAATGGACCCGCTGCCACCAGCCAACAGAAGACAAAAGTGTTGTGCTAAAAAGCATGCAGCCTTTGGCCGTTTGCCAAGCAGGTGATTATGGCTGACTTGAGGTTAACTCCCCCGCTTCCCCCAGGCCGTGCTGTTTATTAAGCACAGTCCAGTCAGGATATCAGACCATCCTACAGACTCGGCGCTGGGCTGGGACAGCAGGAGAGCTCATACCCTGCACGCGGCCAACACAGCTTCCATCCCTGGCACCCCATATGGTCCCTTGAGCCCCACCAGGAGGGACCCCTGATTGCAGTCAGGGGGAAGCCCCGAACACTGTTGGGTGTGTCCCAGATACTAACTAAGGACCAGGTGTTTGTGCAGGGTGGGTGGGTGGGTCTCCGCATCTTCCTTGTTCCTCACTCCCCTCTGAGAAGGGAAGTGGGACTTTGACCCACACCACGTCCGAGAGCCCCCGTGCCACCACCAGCACCACCGCCACCTCTCTAGGCTCCTGTTCTGCTTTTTCTCCTGCTAAAAATAGGTGTTTTGTCATTTATGTAGAAAAAGAGAAATTAGTAAATATAAATAAGGTTGCCTTGGGCATGCGGTTTCCTTACTCTGATCTTACTAAAGGTGTCTGAAATACCCTGGTGAGGGCCATAGCTCGGCGTGTTGCACGCTATCTGTGTTTGAGACCCTGAATTTAATTTCTGGTACTAATTTTTTTTTAAGGGTGATGAAGATTTCTATATGGTCCAGTATATTATGTCTTAGAATGATGATTGACTCCCATGTTAAAAAAAAATAGCTTTCCACTACCAAGCTTAGTAATGTTTCTGTAATTACTAATTTCTTGATTTGTGAGTGGGGGTTTTGTGTCTTCTGTCTCTTTCCGTGCCAGATTTGCTTTGTGAATATTTGTAGATTGGGTCAGGTGGGTTTGACCGCAACTTCTTATGTATGTTTTTTATTTTGGGGCTCTACCCAGCAGTGCTCAGGGCTTACTCCTGGCTCTGCACTCAGGGATCACTCATGGCAGTGCTCCAGGAACCATATGGGGGACCAGGGATCGATCCCAATTGGGCCACCTGCCTGGCAAGTGCCCTCCCTGCTGTCCTATCTCTCCCACTCCTTTAGGGACCCCAAACCATTACATACTTCTGGCTGCAGGGTCAGAATCCTGATTCTTCATCCCTTCTCAGATTCCCTGGCTTTCTCTGAAAACATCCTTTATTTCAGCCACCTCGAGGACTGGGCCTTGCTTTCTGGCTTACTCATTTTTCATTACTAAGGAAGAATGAAAGGGTCTGGAGAGATAGAGGGCATTATTTTGCACACGCCTGACCCTCGGTTAGATTCCAGGACTCAGGGGTCTCCCAAACCCCACCAAAAGTGATCCCTGAGTACAAAGCCAGGAGCAAACCCTGAACATAGGAAGGTGTGGCCCCAAATCCAGAAATTTAAACTTAAAAACAGAGCAGCGTCATTTGCTTCACCCCTCATGCAGCCTCACCGCCCTGGCCAGTCACCAGCTAGCTCTGAGTGTCCAAGCAGGTCACCATGTTTACTCTGCCACTTAGCAGAATTAAACTAAGCACGGAAAGGAGCCTTTGTAGTTCTGTTTTGCTGTGTGTTATTTTCACTCATCATAATATAAAACGTTAGAGGGTGTTTCTCTGAATATGATTTAGTTGATCGTAATGAATCTGTACTGAAATCTGTTTCTGATACACTGACTTTGTTTTTCTGTTTTCCTTTCCTGCTCACACTCTGGACAGGACAATCTTTGTTCCCCTTCCGACATCCTTCAGCTAAACCTCAGCGTTAAAAGAACTGTTGAAACACTACTTTCTCTTGGGGCACATTCGGAAGAATCCAGTTTTATGTGTCTGTCTCTCCAGCTTTTGGGTTTTGTGGCATTTTACTGTACTTTGATGTTAACTCTCTTTATGCTCTATTATTGGGTCTTCCCCCTTTAACTGATTATTCGTGGGATTTCATGCTTCATTTCTGTGCTTGGTAAAAAAAGGTTTGTTTCTCATTCAGAAGAATTTACATATTTACTTGATCTTTTTTTCTGGCCATTGAAGAGCTAACTAATAAAGTAGATAACTCTTTCTTCATACATTTAGGTAAGTAACCTCTCACAATATGAAGCATTTGTAATGAGGGCTAACATTTTTTTTCTTTTAATAGCATTTTCTCCTTCCTGTCATTTGTCCTTTCTCCCGGTGGCCTTCCCTCTCCTACTATAAGTGCCAAAGCATTTCAGTTAATTCAGTACTGTACTGAGTCTTTGACTGTAGGCTTCAGACTTAGAACTTTGTTTACAAAAAGCGTAATAATGGTGTTTTGAAAGTAATTGGTGGGGCTGGAGCAATAGCACAGCCGGTAGGGCATTTGCCTTGCATGCAGCCGACCCAGGTTCGATTTCCAGCATCCCATATGGTCCCCTGAACACTGCCAGGGGTGAATCCTGAGTGTAAAGCAGGAGTGCGTCGCCGGGTGTGACCCAAAAAGCAAAAAAAAAAAAAAAAAAAGTAGGAGCTGGTGACCCAACAGCTGTTGATGAGGAAAATAGTGGCACCCTTTCTGATTGGAGGGGACGTGGGCTACACATTGCTCTACTGAGCGGTGCCCTAGAATCTCGGAATCACCTTTATTGGTGGCATTTGCCGTCAGGGCATACTCTGGCTGTTCGGAGTTAACGGACTTGGCGCTGGGACTATGGTTGCTGCCTAGGAGTCTGGCTCCCACAGGCACATTCCCCGACTCTTGCCCCGTCTGAAGGGTGCGAGCGGGAAGCCTGGCTTCCTGCTGGGCAGGCATGGCATCCCTGACCACGTCAGACGTTAGTGTTCGCACAGTGCTCTCTGGGCTCCTGACTCTGTGTGACGGGGAGATGGGTGGGTCAGTTTGTGTGGTGACACAGTCAGTGATCTTTTAGTTTTCTTCCTTAAAAAGTCAGCAATAGCACAGCGGGTAGGGCATTTGACATTGAAGTTGACATTGGAACTTGTATCATTCTCAGTATATCTTAATTGTTCAATTTTAATTTCACTGCGGTAGGGCGTTTGCCTTGCACGCAGCCAACATGGCCGACCCGAGTTCGATTCCTCCGCCCCTCTTGGAGAGCCCGGCAAGCTACCGAGAGTATTCGATATGCCAGACACAGTAACAACAAAGTCTCCAATGGAGATGTTACTGGGCCCGCTTGAGCAAATCGATGAACAACGGGAGGGCCTTTACCTTTCTACCTTTACATATCTGAAGAGTTTGTGAGGCAGCAGCCTGCTTGCCCATAGCCAACCCGGGTTCAATTCCATAGGGTATCCCCAGCACCGCCAGGAGTGGTTCCTGAGTGTAGAACCAGGAGTAACCCCTGAGCATTGCTGGGTGTGACCCAAAAAGCAAAAAAAGAAAGAAAAAAAAATCATGTGATGAAAGCTAAGTGAGTGAGGAGCAGTTTGCCCGCTCAGGCAGTGAGGCGAGGCTCCTGGGAACGGCCTGCATGCAAGCCCGCTGCAGGCCTGCAGCCCTCCGTCCCAGCTACCAGCTCGGTGAGATCAATATTGCCATTGCTTGAATTTTCAAAATGTTAAATTTTTTGAAGTAACAAAGTACCACAAGTACCAATAACCTGCGGAAGTTCAAAATGTTATGTTTTTATTGCAATCGGCTTTATCAAGCTTGCTAATACAGTTCTGCTAATGAAAAAGCAAGGTGAAAAACCTAGTTACCTTCTTGAATAAATACATAGTCTCTTTTCGGCTATGGTGTCCTTCCTGAAAACCATCTCCAAGACACTCAGCCCTGACTGAGGGGCAGGAGATCACTCAGAAGACTTGAGCTTGTGCTCCACTTGTCAGGGACAGAGTTTGGCCCACTGTACCACCTGGTCCCCGAGCACTGCCTGCCGTGGTCTCAGAAACAAAAATAAAAGCTAATAATAGGCATTTTCCCTAAAATATGCCCTTTTCTCTTCTGAGAAAGGAGTAACAGCTTATTAAGGCAGACAGAAGTATCTGACTTCCGTCAGCCAGTCCATACACTTTCTCCACATGGGTAGTGTTTCAGCTGCTCCTGGCTGACTGGGCAGTAGCACAGCAGGCTTGCCTTGCACATGGTTCCCCGGCACCACAGATGGTCCTGAGCACTGTCAGGTGCGGCCCCAGAACAAAACAAGATGTTGTGACTGAGCTGAAGAAAGAGCTTAACACGTTGACGTATACTGTGCATGTGGGCTCCCACGTGACCCCTGGCCCCGCGGCACCAGGACCATCGCAAACACTGAGCCCCTTAGCACCGCCCCAAACTGTGTTCCTCACTGAGACCGCATGGCAGACCTCTCGCATTGTCTAATCCATTAAATTCTTGGATTTGAAATATCTTTTTAAATATCTAAGTTCAGATTTTTAACTTGATGGAATTGGAACCTTCTATGGATTCTCCAAAATAATGGAGAGACATCCCAAAATAATCAGATTTTCCCATATAAGGGGCAGTCCTTGTCAGACATTTAAACCATTTTATTGGGGTGGGGATTGGCGAGGGATCTTCCTCCCGGCGACTGTCCAGTAGCTAGACTGGCGCTCCAGTGCTGAGCCCGGGGGCGTGATGCTTCTCCCATGGGCCACCAGGACCACTCCAGCCACGTAGGGTTTCCAAAGGCTAGTGATGCCTCGGGGATTTGTGGTGCCAAGAATGCTGAGCAGCCCTTCAAGCATCTCCGCCTGTGAGGTCAGTGTCCCAGGAGGCTTCCTGGGTGCATGAGCCGCAGTCCTACAGACAGCACTGTCTCCTACCCTGTCTTCAGGAGTTGAGCCGTACGGAACTTTTTTCCTAGTTTCCTGTTTCTTTCGCAGAGCCACCTTACTCAGTCCTGGTGAATGATGTTGCTCCCACCTCACAGTATTCTGTTCTTCCACTGTTGTAAGCAAGTGATGTAACTTGTCCATTTTCCATTATCATGTACTCTGGGTTGGTTGTTTTAATGAAGTAAGAGTATCAAGACACCCACTCTGCATGGCTCAGTCAAGAAGCCAGCTTCATCTCAGCGGGCAGTTCTGAGGGAAAGGTGTTTATTTTTCCTTTCAGTTCTGAATGTTCATCCTGTTTTCTCTTTTGTTTGTTTTTGTGTTGCGTGGTCCTGTTTCAGGAGCAATTGTGTTTGCCTCTCCACATTCTAGAAGAGAAAGGGCTGAGCCGGGTCGCGGCCACCGTCCAGGCCCTCTTGGAGCTGGCTCCACCCAAGCCGCAGCCGTCTGCGGTGTAAGGACCCCGGGCCTCAGCGTGGGCCTGGCCAGGCAAGGAACGGGACCACGTGATTGCTGCTCCAGCCGCCACCTGGCCAGGCTCTTATCGCACTTACAAGGGACTGTTCCATGATTCCTAACGGGAATGCTTTGCTTCGTTTCTCCATTTTAGGGGAGGTTATATCCATTTCCACTGAACTGCTTATGACGACACGGTTGGTTTCACAATTGCCTCTTATTTTTCATTACTGAGGACCCAACACCAGAGCCTGAACTGGCTTGTACTTTCCTAGAGGTTTTGTTTTTCCCCACAAATCAGAATGATAAATATTTCCAGAAGGATATTCAGTTCTGTTGAAGGCACAGACATTCTGTTATCCTTACCTATTTCCAGTACATCTAGGAATCCCCCTTGCTTGTACATTTCTGGAGCCATTTGGATCTCCTGGAGCTTTTGTACAAACACAGGTTGTCATCCATGGGCAGAGAGCTTTAAGGTTGCAGAAGCTTCCCGTCTCGAGAGCAACCACGCTTAAAGCTAGGTGTCTGCTCTGGGGGCTCAGGGCCCACGCTGCTTTGGAGCCACATTGCAAATCGAGAGCACTTAATGTTACTTGGACTGTTTTGTCCAAGGCAAAACAAAATTACCGTAAAAGGCCCAGATTCTCTCCAGTCAGCATGACGGTTATGGTTGTATCATCTGTTACCTACATTATCACACTCCACACAGATTCCAGATCATTAGGCCAGTAACAGCTTTGCACTGACTTCTCTGAGCACCCCCGGATCTGCAAGGCACACACATGTCCCGCTTCCCAGTATCAGATTCTGAGGATGCTAAAGGAATCAAGGAAAGGCCACATTTCGTAATTTCCTTCAGGTAACTGCCAGGTCCTGCCACTGTGTCCAGGCCATTGTGGTATCTTAAAAGCAGCTCAGCTTATTTAGCTCACCCGGTCTCCACCCTCCACCCTACATTCTCTGCTCAGTGGAGCAGGTGGCAGGGCCGCAGGCTGTGCTTCGAATGTCCTGGACTGTTTAACCAAAAGGTGAAGCCACTTGCATCCTTTTTCCCACTTCAGTTTTGGTTGTCATGTTATCTGTTAGTTGTCATTGCCCTTGTAACCCAAGGGCAATGAATGTTTTAAATGAAGGGTCTAGTCTACATATTTTTCTGTTAATTGTTCTGGATCTTCTTTACCAATTACATGATTTGAGTAAAATCTCTCGCATGTAAATGCAATCTAAAAGTAACCTTGGATAAAATCGATTGAGTTTCTGGACAAAGTGATGTTTTTCCCTTGTTTCTAAATCACTTGGACATTACAGCTTTGTCATGATTATTGTTTTAGAACATAAAATGTCTCTACTCAAAGTCCAGCCCTTCAGGAGCCTCACAGAGCAGAAGTCACGTATCTTCTAAGTTCTTGAGCCAGCTCTGCTCTGTTTATAGCTCCAAATACGTCCATCAGTCATATGACTTATTTGGGATTTAGCTGTGTATATTTTTAAACTTTATGTATTTTTCCTTCTGGTTTTGACCAGGTTGAGTCTGGCGCCTTAGACCACTCGGCCATCCTGACACACTTAAATCTAGGGCAGTCTCCAAAATATCCATTTAAAATATCCATTTAAAACCCAGCAAAGGACAGGACTGTTTGTCATTTATTACTCAAGGAATGGCCCTAGAAGATCTGCATAACAACCACACTGGAATATGTACAACCTACGTTCTCATAGGAATGAATAGAAATTTCAAGTCCATTTCAGATTTTTCTCATACCAGGACAGCTTACTAATGCATTTTAATTGAACTCATTCAAGTACAAGTACATATGCCTGGAGTGTTATGGGAAATTTTGTGTACTTGTTAATATTGAATGAGACAAATATCAAATAAATAGAATTTCCTTTTCCATCTTAAGATGCAAGCACAAACCATGACGTTTTTGTTGGAATAATTTTGCATGCAGTGTTTGATACATCTTTTTGACCTAGAAAGAGAATTTCATCTTAACATTTAGCCTTGCTTGACTCCAGTGTAAGATAGAGATGACTTTTGACTTCTCCCTTCAGTAGCAAGCTCCCCCGTGCCAACATACAGAAGAGGAAACAGCTGAGTCGGCCAGCCACCCGTCAGCAGTCTTGTGCCGAGCACCAGCCTCTAGTCCCGGTTCAGACTCTCTTCTGAGCAAAGTGTCCTAAATCCCTCAGGGAGGAGGGAAGAGCAAGGCTGGAGGCTTGTAGTCAAGCACTTTTCTTCATAGCCTTTAAAACACAGCCTTAAGGTTCATCAAGGAGTCGGATTTCTCTTACTATAACCCAGCAGTGACTAATTATGTATGACTATGTGATGAACTTTTAAAAGTTAAGCGCTTAAATGTTTATAGAAATGAAGGAAAACATGGATATTTAGGAACCTTTTTATATACATATTGCAGTGAGATGGTTTACAACAGATTTTATTTCTGAAAATGTTGTAAACATGTAATTAAAAGATTTTGTAAAACATTGTCCTATATTTGTCTGTAAATATAATGCCTAAGTTCTAAGTATAAATATGTCAATATCATGTATGTTATTAAATTGCCTGTATGCCACCTTACACATTGACATTCAAATAAAAGCCAACACTTTAATAGTATGAAATACAAACTGGTTTGAGACTTTCTGTACGTAAAGCCTGGTTTCCAGGAGAGAAATGTATGAGTTTGTGGGCCAGGGAGACAACTGAAGCCGTAGAACACCTGCCAGGCACACGGGAGGCCCTTGGCCAATCCCTGCCATGGCATGTTTTCCTCTTCCCCCCACCCCCATGAAAAATGAAAAAGGGACCATGGAAATAGCCCTCTGTGGCTGGAATGTGTGCTGCACACATGGTGCCCTGAATCAGATCCCTGGCACCATGTGTTGCTACAGATGTAGTTCCATACTTATACTAGTACCCTGTAGTAATGCTTATGCCTGGGCTAAGTATTACCAGGAATAACCCCCGTCATCCCTGAGCACTGCTGGGGAGGTCCCTTCTCAAAAAGCCAAACAAATTCCCTAAAGAAACACCAGCCGGAGCCTATAACACCCTGTAGAGTAAACTGACTGTAAATGGAGTAGAGCTGTCAGTATTGCTCTAGTTTGGAGTCAGTGGGCATGAGGTTTGATGTATGAAATGAATACACAACTTGTCTCAGACACTGCCAAGCTGGGATCAGTTCGAGCACGCTGTAGCATCCCAAGGCTGTTCTGATCAATCAAGGCAAGACGTGCCCTGTGGAAACATTCTTTCTTAGAGAAATAGAAAGAATGGCTGCTGAGTGTCCGGTACTGCTCTGGTGTCTGGTAAGGTGACATGAACAGGTGAGGCAGGGATAGATGCCAGTGCCTCCCAAAAGGATCTCCAGACCAGTCCCGAGTCACTGTGTTCCTCTTTACTCCATGGGTCGTAACATTCTTGCATCTCCCTTTGTGTTTATACTGTATAGCCCTACCTGTTTCCCAGAAAGGAAACTGATGCAGCTTAGAATAAGATGTGTGCTATGCATTTCGTGTACCACCCCAGCCCTCTCAAAACACTACAGTGATGCCGTAGAAGTGGTGGGCGGGGGGCCACACAGAGAGCCGAATGCCCCCTCTATCCCTGGCACAAACTCCCTGAACACAGAAACATGCTGACCCCAAAGCCAAATTAATAAAAGATAGGCAGGAACTTTCAATAGTTTATGATAGACACTTCAAACATTATTGATCACCTGACTTGCTCATCAAAGAGTTCATTTCACTACCAAAGAACAAAATGAGAAGCAGAGACATTCCAGAAATCACTGGTGGTTTTTTTGGTCTGGTCTGATCTGGTGTGGTTTGGTTTGGTTTGGTTTGGTTTGGAAGCCACATCCAATACTCAGGACTTTGTCCTGGCTCTGTGTTAAGGATCACTCTTGGTACTCAGGGGACCATGAGTGCTGGAGTGACCAGCGGTGCTGGAGATGGATCAGCCACAGTTAGCAAGGTAAGTACTCCCCTGCCCTCTGTACTATCTGGCCCCATCACTGGCATTTTAATGCATCACTATAAGCCATGACCTTTATTTCCTAGTGAATAAAAGCAAGAGATTCTTACAAGACTCCTAGAAACATTTCTTCCTGATCAGTTTATTTCAAAGAATGAACTCCTAAATCATAATGCTAATTCCGGGCTTGGAAATGCATAATATGCAGAATGAATTTACCAGACCTCATCTGGGAATGCCCAGGCACAGAACACCCTGTGGGCCAGCTGTCTGGGGCGGTGTTCCTTCCTCCGATAGAAGAGAGCTCTTGGGTATTATTTCTTCCCTTTTCTCTTGTCCTTCTCTTTGCCTTTACCCTTTTTTTGGTCCTTGGTGTCCACCCCCTTCCGCGGCAATCTGAAAGTACCAATTTCCCTCCGGACCATAGTGCCTCGCCACCAGGCTTGAAGCTGAAAGAGAAAAGTAAATTGAAATATGCCTGACAGACTGCTTTCTTGCCACACAGGGTGACTTTTTCGATAAGATGATGTTTGCATGAAGAAGGGCCTGGAGATGGAGCACGGCCAAGAGCCTCCTGGACAGCAGTGCCCCTGCTGTGCAGGACCCAGAGCCATGCTCAGTTCGGAGAGGGAAAGGATGGGAAATACAAAGCCCACAGTATTGTATTTTCACTTCACGCCTGCTCTTCACTTCCACATACTAGCCTTGTGCCACTGCGCGTGTGCCACACCAGTTCCCCAGATCTAACAGGAATTTGATTCAAAATAGATGTTAGTGGGGATGAAGTGGTTGGGGCTGAAGTGATGGTATAGTGGGGAGGGCATTTGCTTTGCTCGTGGCTAACCAAGGTTCAATCCCTGGCATCTCACAGGGTCCCTATGCACCAACATAAGTGATTCCTCAGTGCAGAGCCGGGAGGACCCTTGAGCATCACCGTTGTGGCCCATAATGCAAAAACAAAGAAGCGGGGAATGTTAGCTACCTGGACCTGGGACGAAAATAAGCATGCAAGGGGCAGAAGATACGGCAGGCAGGGTACTTTCCTTGCATGTACCCCACCCAGATTCAACACCCTGTACTTTGTATGATCCCCAGACTCCCACCAGGAGGGATCCCTGAGCATCGTGCCAAAAATCGGTGAGTTCTTAATTCAGGATTCACTGAGCAGAGCCAGGTTGACCACATCTCACACCCTTGCTGGAGCTGTCAGGAGGAGAGGTCTTCTTCTGTCGGGCTGCCACTGCCATAGGCCAGGCCCGGCAGCCTGCAGGTTAGGACCCCTGTGACCACCTGACCCAGCCTGGCCCTGTGCAGCTCTCGATCTCTCCGAGTCTGACCATCAAGTCAGAAGCTGCTCTCGGGAACCACCATTGCTGTCCCTGTGAAGGGTCCTGGTGCCCAGCTTGGCCTCTCCTCACCCTACCCTCAAACTCACCATCGTGTTGGAACTTCACGTCTTCACTCACAGAGAGTACACACTGACATCCTAACTAGTCCCCTAACTCCACAACACTCAAATTGTGCAACTACAGCTAGGAAGACGGGCAGGCGTGGCCCAAAAACACAGCAGAAAAGTCATCTGCACTTCTGTGTTCAATTGCAGCACTGTTCACCATAACCAGAATCTGGAAACAACCCGAGTATCTGAGACTAGATGACCGGATAAAGAAACTAAGGTTCAACTACACAGTGAAATACTATGGCAGCCACCAGGAAAAATGAAGTCATGAAATTCATGTATAAATTGATGGACATGGAGAGTATCATGCTGAGTTAAAGGAGTCAGAGGGAGAAGGACAAACAGAATGACCGGACTCCTTCGTGGAACATAAAAAACATAGTATGAGACTACCCAAGGACAGTAGAAACAAGGGCCAGGAGGAATGGTCCATGGTTGGAAGCATGCACAAGTGTTGGTGGGGGAGGGTACCTAGGATAGAAAAGGAGTCATTGTGACAAAGATGGTTGGAAATGATCACTCGACAAGAACTGAGTGCTAAGAGGAGGTAAAGGGATAAGCATGACCTCTTAGTACTTGTACTGCAAGGCATAATGCCTAACGGGGCGGGGGGGGGGGGAGAGAGAGAGAGAGAGAGAGAGAGAGAGAGAGAGAGAGAAGAAAAGTACCTGCCACGGGGTGGGCGGGAGGGAAACTGAGGACACTGATGGTGGGAAATGTACACTGGTGGAGAGATGGATGATGGGACATTCCATGGCGATTGAATTTTTTTAAAATTGTGGCAGAAAGCACTAAATGACAGCTGAAACGTGACAGGTCCAAAGCCACTGAAGGCCTTCCTGAAACCAGCACATGAAAAATCTAAACAGCTAGTTTGTAACAAATTGCCTCAACAGGAAGTAAAGAGCAGTACCCAGCTGGTTCCCACAGGGAGCTCAGGGGTGTGTGAGTGGCACAGATGGAGAATGGAAAAGCCCCTCAGACTGCAAAAGCCACAGCAAAGGAGCCATGAATCCCACCAGAGTCCAAGCTGGAAAGAGCTCAGAGGGAGGGAGCCTGCTTTGACGCTGCTCACCTGGGTCCCATCCCCAGCATCCCGTATGGTCCCCCAAGCTCGCCAGAAGTGATTTCTGAGCCAGGAGTAACCTTTGAATATGCTGGGTGTGGCCCCAGATACTAAACAAAGCCTCCCATCACACTTGCTGGATGAAGAGGGTGGCACTGGAGAATCAGTGTTTAGACCTCACTGGTAAGGAATTCGGAGACAAAATACTGAGGATGTTCAGTGAGCTCAAAGAAACAGTGAAACAAACAGCCAATAAAACACAAAGGGATATGAAAGCAGAAATGATAAAACTAAAGAATTTGGTAGGTTTGGAACACCGGCCATCTTGCCGGTGGAGAAATAGCCCAGCTCCATGACTAACCTCAGAAAGAACATGATGCACTGATCTCCCCAGGCCAACCTGTCCAGGCCGAGACTGGGCCTCCTCAGAGGAAGGGCGGGCACAGCACCCCTAGCCACCCCCAATACCATCCAACACAGAAGCGGTCCAGCTCCACAGCTGAACCTCAGCAAACTGCCAAGGACCAAATCGTTCCAACGCCACAGATCCTGGCCCTGGGCTACACAACACTCCATATTCTATAGTTCTGTCAGTCAGTAGGGTCATAGTGAATCTATGGGGAAAAACTATGCCCAACTTGTGCTTCACCAGCCTAGTGATCCCCATGACTTCAGTAGCACCATTGTGAGATATAACAAATTAACTTTTGATCTAAGTTTTGACAATTCCATCTGCCTCTGTTGTAGCAAATGATAAGAAGTAAAGGTAACTGGGGATATTGGTGGAACGCCAGACTGGTGGTGGGATTGGGATTGGAGGAGTTAATGCCAAAAACAAATGTATTGTGAACAACTTTGCAAATCATGGTGTTATAATAAAAAAAAGTGTTTTAAATTTGGTAGGTTTGGGCTGTATGATAGTACGGGGGGCAGGATGAGTGCTTGCTTTGCATGCAGACAACCCAGGTTCCATTCTCTGTACCCCATATTGTATCACCAGGAGTAATCAGAGTGTAGAGCCAGGAGTAAGCCCAGAGTACCTCGGGGTGTGGTCCAAAAACAAAAAATTGGTAGATAAAATGAAAAACTCACTAGAAGGCCTCAGCAGCAAAGTAACAGAAGCTGAAGACAACTACCAGTGATATCCAACGTGAGATGCAAAAAATTTCCATACAACAGCAGAAGAGGTAAAAGGGGGGAAAAAGCTTCAAAAATAAATGAACAGCTGACAAGAGAATTTTGAAACGAATTCAAGAGGAACAACTTAAGAGTCACTGGGGTCCTAGAGGCCCAGGAAGGCATTTGCAATGAAGAAGCAGTAGTTAAAGAAATTACTAGAAGAGCACATGCACCCATGTTCAAGAGGCCCAAAGGGTACCAGCTAAAAACACTCCAGGACACACCCTGAACAGAATGACTCAAGATAGAACACTGAAAGCAGCAAGATTGATGAAGGAAATCCCAAAGGAGCATCCTTCCAACAGACAGCAGGCTGGCCTTCAGCTCGCGACTCCACCATTCAGGTGAGGCGCCTCCCGCTGACATCACGGCCCCTCCCTCTGGCTAGGTACCAGCAGCCTCCACACCTGACCTGCGCCATATATCTGGGCCCACCACAGCTCCTGAAGTGACAGATATACTCAACAAACTGCATGCTGCTCACAGCTATTCTTCCTGTCATTTGGTGAAGATGGCAGAGAAAACAGAGTAACCTCAGCCTCAGCGTCTCCCAGAGGCCTAAGACTAAGACTCACCCCAGTCAGCAAGAATGAGAAAATCAATGAGGAAAACACACAGAAGCCACCAAGGTCAGTGCTCAGAAACAACATCCTCAGAGACATAAGTAACAGCAGTAAATTCTCAGTGTCTTTAGACACCAGGGACACCATGATGAGGGTGTCAAACACACTCAAAGAAATAATGGTACAAGTAGAACAGTCAAAATGTGAAAAACTACCACAATCAGAAATGAAGAACATGGTAGGTGATATAAAAAGAAAAAACAAGAACTCTGAATAGCAGAATAACAGCAGCTGAGCAGAAGATCAAGGCACTCCAGATGTGGAGGAGACACCAGTGTGTGAGGAAACACTAGTTAAAGGAACCACCGATAAGAACTCCCAGAGTCAAGGTTACAGACACCGAGACCCACGAGGCCTGAAGGATCCCAGTAAGAACACACTTAACTAGGAAACTAAATGCCCGGTGTTCTCAGAATGACACAGAGGAACAGAGCAGAATGATCCCCCATCTGGGTAGGTATAGAGAGCCCTGGTGAGTAACTACAGACCAAAGGCAATAAAAATGAAGGGCAGGAGAACTGGTATTTCTTGGGGCTGGAGCCCTACCACAGCAGCAGGCAGGGCGTTTGCCTTGCACACGGCCAACCTGGGTTTGATCCCCGGCATCCCATATGGTTCCCAAGCACCGCCATGAGTGATTTCTGAGCACAGAGCCAGGAGTAACCCCTGTGCATCACCAGGTGTGAACCCACTCCCCACCCCTCATAAAAGTATTTTTAAACTTGACCTAAAGCTGTGAGTTTTTGTCGCTGCTGTTGGGGGCACCTAGTGGTGTGCTGAGGGATAACTCCTAGCTCTGCACTCAAGGATCACCCTGGTGGGTCAGGGCACCACATGTGGTCCCTCACTCAAGCCCACGTTGGCAGCATGCATGGAAGCACCCTACAGGCTCCACTATCTTTCCGGCCCCTGTGGTGCAAATTCTGTAATTTGCTTTCACTGTTAGCAATGTTTCTCCCTCTTCCTTTTTCCCCCCTCCCAGATTTAGAGTTAGGAGCTCGTCCTTTTCCTGTATCACAAATTGGATAGGCAGATCCAACAATAACAAGCCCTGTGCTCCATCGCAGAGCTCCTGACTGGAGAACAAATAAGACACCTGGTGACCCTCAGTGTCTGGGCTACTGTTGCAGTCAAGAGACCCCAAGATGAAAAAAGTTAGAAATGTTTACCTTTATGATGCTCTTTAATTCCAAGACTTCCTTTTCTCGTTTTTTCCTATATGTCTCCTTTTCTAGACGATCTTCAATGATAACCTGTTCATACTCTCTTATCTTTGATAACAAGACAGTCACATGTTAGAGTATTCTTGGCTAAGCTGTGGCTCAGCCATGCAGTTGTTAATATCAAATCATAAAGCACCTGGGGGTATGGTGCCACCAGCAGGTCAACCCGTACCTGTGGGGGGAGTGCATCAGCAGACTGATGGTGCCTTCAGACTTCCTGATACACCAAAATTGCCTCTGTGCCTCTGGTCGGACCTCAACAACTTGCGGCCAAATTCACCAAGAATTAAATGGCCAAAAGTCAGGTATGTGGGAGCCACACCCAGAAACCACCTCTGGCTCAGCTATACAAGCTCATTTATTGATCTTATTTCAGAGACCCATAAACCTCGAACAATCAAAAGCTGCCGTTAGGGCTGGCACCGGCACACCCTGCAGGGCATATGCCAACAGTTTATTTCTCCGGAAAAGATAGAAACAAGGGCCATGATCCGGAGACACACAGAAGAATCTCCGAACTGAGCAGTTCACTGCAGAGATGCCTCTGGACATTAAGCCAGGCCAACTTCATGGGGGTGCCTCAGACAAGGGCAGGCGTCGTCCCTCCACCTGCCCCTTAAAAAAAAACCCGGCAGGTATACAGGTTCAGTGACAGCAAACTCCAGGCCTCAAGGGATAGGGGATGAGCCCGTCCTTCTCATTCCCCCCTGCCATAGGGCCCTGGAGGTCACGCCCACAAACTGCCTCCGGCTGCTATTTAAACTCCCTAATGGCCATGATCCAGAGACACACAAAAGAATCTCTGAACTGAGCAGCTCTCTGCAGAGATTTCTCCAGACCCTAATTATCTAAAATTTTAGAATTCCAGAAGCAGGCAGCCGCTCTTGCAGCTGTGCAACATCTTATGCTATTCATAACAAGCAATACAAAAGAGAATATGAGGAAGATTGTCTACCGTAGAGGCAGGGGGAGGGGTGGGATGGGGGGAGGGGATACTGGGGACCTAGATGGTGGAAGATGTGCACTAGTGGAGGGTTGGGTGGTCAATCATTGTATGACTAAAACTCAAACAGGAAATTTTAGAACTATCTCACAGTGATAAAAATATAATAATAATTTAAAAATTATAAAGCATGCCAAACCTTAAACCGAAGAAAACCTTACTGGATCAGTATGTGGCAAATATTCACATACTTATTTTATCCTTGTTCCCAACTCTTTTTTCAGTTTGAATAATTCAAATTTACTTTAAAAATCTTTCACGGGGGTCCAAAGAGCTAGTACAGTGGTAGGGTACTTGCCTTATATGTGGCCAACCTGGGTTTGATGCCCAGCACCACATATGGACCCCAAGCACTGCCAGTAGCAACACCTGAACACAACTGGCCATGGCCAAAAGCCAAGATAATCTCTCATGGGTCAGAGAGACAGCTTAACAAGCTGGGCATATGCAGAAGCCCAGGCATCACCCCCAGCATGCCAGGAAGGGCCCCTCTCAGCCAGCTCAATGCCAGGAGGAGTCCCTGAGCACCACCAAATGTGGCCCAATTAAGAAAAAATCAGAAGTGTTTAACAAATCATTTTCAAGCTGTCTTCAGAGATCATAAAGTATAAGTAGTAGTCTTATCTCAAGGACTTGTCATGGTTAAATAAGACCTGAAATACGAGAGAAGCCCTGGAGACAGCAGGTGTTACAGAGGTCATCAACCCCACTGTAATAGGCCCCACCAGACACAGTGCTATCCTGGGGCCCACACAGCCCCGCCTGCATCCCACACACCGTCTTTGCCAGCTCCTGCAGGTGCATTAAGTCAGTGGCTTTTGCCACTTTGAGCGCGTTGAGTTCGTTCTGTTTCGCTTCCGTGTCCTTATCAAATTTCTCCATCCAGAACTCCAGTTTATCCTCAAGTGTCTATTTGGAAAGAACATTAAAATATAAAATAGTATCTGCTGGGTGGAGTCACCGATATTCATAGTACAGAAGCAAACAGAAGGCGCCTAGAGTGACAGTAGTCAGAATCGCGGTTACCTTCAGGAGGGTTGATACAGTGATGGGGATCCTGGGGAGCCCCTGGGAGACTGTGCTGTGCTTTGCATTGGGGTGCTGGTTACTGAGCTAAATAAATGCATATTAGGCCCTATTTTTGTTTTGGTTTGCTTTTGGGCCACAACTGGTGGTGTTTTCAAGGATTAAAACTGGCTTTGCACTCCGGGATCACTCTTGGTGCGGTTCCAGGGACCATATAGGATGCTGGGGACCAAACCTGGGTTGGCTGTGTGCAAGGCAAGCACCTACCGCTGTGCTATATCTCCAGCCCCCTATTCTTCCCCCCTCCTTTTCCTTATTTAAACAATGTGGTTTACAAACTTGTTCGTGTGTGACAGGCATTCAATATTCCAACACTAATCCCATCACCAGTGTGACCTTCCCTCCACCACGGTCCCCATTTTCCCAACCACTGCCCAAGCCTGCCCCTGTTATCAAGCTGAAAATAATTTCATTTATATTGTTTGTTACAACTGAATGGCTAATGGGAATTAAAAAAAATACTTTAGTAAAAGAAAATTTGTGAAAATTGCTATCTATTACTATGAGGTCATTAAGTCCTTGTCTGAGGGTTTGCTAAGCTGTTGTTGCTAGTTGAGCCGTCTGTGTGAATGCTTTGTTTATTGGGCTTAGATGGCTTCTACGTTACTTTCCCATTTAATCTGTGTGCTCCTACTGGGCTGTCGGTATTTGAGAATTTGGAGGTGTCCCTCTAGAAAGTCCAGGGTATTCAACTGGACCATGAGTTTACATGATGGCAGCTGTGGGGATGTGAGTGTGGCTGTAGGTGATCCCAGAAATTGGGGGGTGGGGGAGGCTTCCCAGCACCATTCTGAGGAGAGCACAGAGCTAGCTCTCCACCTGAAGACCAGTCCACCTGGCATTTTTGGCAGTTGGTGTTTCTGGAGAGCTCAGTGGTGAGGCAATGGAGTCAGTCCAGCCCCTCTTCTTGAGATGTGCACTACTCCTAGCCCTGTTCTCGGAGCTATTTCCTAGGGGAGCATTTGTGGTATCAGGAATGAAACTGAAATTGATCATATGCAAAGCAATGCCTTACCTCTGTGTTATCTCTCTAACCCAGTGGGTATGTTATTAATTAAAATTCCAGGGCTAAGACTAGAGCTCCACAAGATGAGCACCTGTGCTGCATGTAGGAGCACCCACTTCAATCCCTGGTACCATATGCCCCCTGAAGCACCAAGAGGCAAGCACTGAGCCAGGAATAACCCCTGAGCACTGCCAGGTGTGACCCAACAACCAAATAAGTTTTTAAGAAGAAAGAAAGAAAATAGGAGAGACTGCAAGCTGTATGGATGTGCTGTATGGTAGGACTACTAAATAATAATCAAGAAGGAAGCGATGACTTCAAACTTCTAAAGGAAAACAAAGGTGAGTCTAAGATTCTGTACCTACTTAGTCTTGCACTCAGTGTGTGGCAAAGAGAGACTTCCTCCAAGAGCTGCGTGGGACTGGGGTGTGGCACCAATGGGAGAGCACTGCCGTGGGCGTGTGAGGCCCAGTGTCGTCCCTGCCTTTTCATGGCCCTCAGCATTGCTGTTGTGGCCCTTGCTGCCACAAAAAGACTATTCAAACGAAATATAGATCTATAATATGTATGTATGTATGTACACACACACACACACACACACACACACACACACACACTTGGCTCTTTGGGCCACAGCTGGCTATGCTCAAGAGTTACTCCTGGCTCTGGACTCAGGAATCACTCCTGCGGTGCTCAGGGGTGCTGGGGATTGAACCCGAGTTGGCCATGGGAAGGGCCCATGGCCGACCATTGGCAGTCATCCAGAGGGAAGCACAGACTCTGCATCCCACTGCCTCAGTCCCACTCATCAGGAAACGGACAGTGATTCCAACCTAGAGTATAGAAAAGACTGCTCTCCCTGGCCCCACGGGCCCCGGACTCCTCCAGGGGTAGCTCCAGTGACCCCCCCCCAACCCCCAGCACAGCAGGACCCAAGTACTGAACCCACCCAGGCCAGCTAGCCTAGGGGAATGGGCCCCTGGGGCCCCTGAGCACTGCTGGAGAGGCACCCCACAAAATCTAAAATCAACAGTGCTGTTGAGGATACCTCAAAGTACATGCCTGTATACATGGCAATGTAAATTGAAAATATTAGCAACAGTTATCAAGAGTTATAAAATGTGTGTCTTTCTTGAAAAATTGTTATTTGGAGGAAAATATCCCCTCGGCTAAGAATATTATTGTAATTTAAATTTTTAAATTTAATAAATTTGGACTGGAGAGACAGTGCAGCAGATAAGATGCTTGTCTTGCATGCAGCTGACCCTGGCTCGATCCTCAGTACCCTATATGGCCCCTGGAGCCTGCCAAGAGTGATCCCTGAGCATGCAGCCAGAGGCAAGCCCTGTGCACTGCTGGGTATGATGCCCAAACAAACAAAATTCAATATTTAATTTTTAAATTATGATTATGAAGAAATATAAAAACAAAGAGCAGTTTATTAGAAAAGGCTAAGTGATAAAGGCAGGAGACAGACGTATACCTGTATTCAGATTACAACTTCATATTGATTCACATGGAGAACTGCAAAGGAAATAAGGGGCCTTACCTCATTCATTAGGCTGATGGAATTAATAGTTGGTTTTTCTTCCTTTGGAAAAAAAAACTGGTCTTTTGCTGACCTTGCTGTTAACTTTAAGATCACAGACATTTGGTGTCCTACCTGCTGTTGCTTTCTCAGGAATATTTCAATCTCCTGATGAATCCGGTTCTCGTCTTCAGTTTTCTGCCTCACTTTCTGTGAGAATAAACTTGGATCAGGACATCTTCCTGGCAGGTGTCACTGGGACAGGGGCCGGCCAGGACCCCAGCAAGCCCAGGCACTGCTGACAGGAGTGAGAGACCGCCACCACCCTCCAGTGACAGGGACGCACCCACCTAAGGCTCGTGCGCAGAGTCACACCTGTCAGTGGACTTTCCAACAGAGAGGCGACCCCAAGCGGGGGTTCCTCACCCCGGCAATGCATTCCCTCCTCAACCCCTCCCGTGCTTCTGTCCCCCTCTGGCCTAAGTGTGCCCTCGTTTCTCTCTCTGGGTCCTTCTCACTGTGACTCTCCTCAAAGCCATGAATCCTAGCTAGAATGAAGCTCAGCTCTCTACAGTTTGTGCCTTTAAGTCTGGGACCACACTGGCAGGACTCAGGGCCAGGTGCTCGGAGGTCACTTGCGGTGCTTGGAGACTGTGCAGTACCGGGATTGGACTCAGGCCTCCCTCATGCCCCCGTCCTTTGGGCCATCTTCCTCCTCCAGATAGTGTGAGTTTTGGCTTTGAGGCCACCTCCAGGGGCACTCAGGGGTCACTTCTGGGACCATAGTGGTGCTGGGGATCAAACCAGGTGAGCCACATGCAAGACAAGGGGCGTATCTCTGTCCTCTCTCTGGCCCAATACTGTGTTTCTAAATGGTGGGATGCAGTGGGGGAGGGGCGTGGGAAGCAGCAGCAAAGCCACAGTCACGAACTATCTTGCTTTGCCCATTGTCAGGAGAAATGGAGAATGGTCTCATCAAGCCAAGGAAGACTAAGGAAACAAGTACAGCCGGTCTCCCAAATGGAAGAAACAGCTCCTAAGAATCCCTTCTTGCTCACTCTCCATCGGTTTTACGCCTGTGCTCAGAGGTTAAGGGCTGCAGGAAAGGAAACTCCCATTACTGCGGATACCGGAAAGGGTGGCCAAACGCCATGTAAAGGTCCCCTTTCATTTCTGTGTGGGAGGGGCTTCTCGGGGACCCCATGAGGCAGGCGTGGGGCCTCTTGCCAGGCAAGCACTCTCTGAGCCTCCCGATTCCAGCCCTACAGGTCACCTCTATCTCCTCCAGCATGAGTTCCTCGGCTTTGCTGCACTTCTTCATTGTCTGGGAAATCTGCAGCTCGGTGTTCATCTTCATATAGCGATTCTCCATGTTGGTCTTCGCCTTCATCTCCTGCAGCTGGTCCTTGAGGTGAGCGATATATTCATTCTGGCTCTGTGGGGACAAAGTCAGGTTCTACGCTGGAAACCTCCCCTGCCTCCTTCCCGTCACCGCAGTGGCCTAAGCTGGATTGATCCAACACACTGACATGGGACTGGATCGTCTGCCCTGTCAGGAAAGCTAGCCGATGGTTACAGATGGAACAAGTGAAACATGAAATGTAGGTCATTGCGAGGGTGATGAGATTCTCCAGCACAAGATCCTCTGCCCCAGGGCTTCCCCTCCCTCTCGTTCTGATAGAGACCCGGGCTCTGTGAGGGAGGCCCTGACCGCCCCCTGGGTCCCCAGCTGCATGGACTACACACTCAGCCAGGGAGACAGTGTCTACCCTGCCTGAGACACCCAGCAAGAGACTCAGAGAATCAGCAGAGATTTCCTTTGCTCCTTTCGATGCCCACCAGGAATTCCACCTATTCCCAAAGAAAATCCTGGGACTTGGTAAGGACCTTCCTGAGTCCTATCAGGAAAATTCTGAGACTTGATGACAACCTTTCTGACAAAAGGAACTTGAGGAATGCCACTTACCCATCTTACTAAATCTGAAGAGTTAAAATGTAACATTCATTTATTAGGTTTACAGGAAATGTTCATTATCTGGGCTGGAGCGATAGCACAGCAGGTAGGGTGTTTGTCTTGCATGCGGCTGACCCGGGTTCGATTCCTCCACCCCTATCGGAGAGCCTGGCAAGCTACCGAGAGTATCCCGCCCACATGGCAGAGCCTGGCAAGCTCCTCATGGCATATTCGATATACCAAAAACAGTAACAACAAATTTCACAATGGGGACATTACTGGTGCCCGCTCGAGCAAATAGTTGAGCAATGGGAGGGCAGTGTTGCAATTCTACAGACAGTTCACTATCTACCATGGGCTCATCCTACATAATGAATTATAACATTGAAGCTATAATTATAAATTAGATTATAACACTGCAATTTTTCTTTTAAAGAATTGACGGGGCTAATAGTAGTGTGGAAGGTAAGACACTCGCCTTGCAAGCGGCCCGCCTGGGCACTCGGGGGTCACTCTGGTGCTGCTTGGGGCCACCGGGGCTGAACAGGGTGGGCTGCATGCAAGGCAGGTGCTCCCCCTGCTGTGTTGTTGCTCCAGCCCCCCTGCCGACCACTTTTAACGTGGAACATGGTTTGAAAGGAAACAGCAGCAGTTTTGAGAGGAAACAGCGAAGGAGACTTACAGCAGCCTGGCTGCAGAGTGCCTGAGGTGAACATGTCCCACGAGAAGCAAGGGACAGGCCGGGGCTCAGAGACGGCACCTGCCTGCCTCTTCCCTGTCACTGACCGAGGAAAGCAGAGTGCAGGAAATTCCAACAGGAAGGAAAGATCCGGGCTGAGTCCTGAGGTGGCAAAGACCTGTACCATTCTAGGAGCCGAGAGAAAATTCTGGAGGCACAGGGGAACAGATGAGGGGGTACTCAAAGCTGGGGCGGGGGCTAAGAGACAATCAGGCAGGACCCCAGAAGTTATGTCCAAGTTTAGGTCAGAGTGATAGCACACCTGCCTTGCACGCAGCCACCCAGGATCAACCCCGGCATATGGTCCCCTGAGCACTGCCAGGAGTAACCCCTGAGCATCACTGGGTGTGGCCCAATAACCAAAGCAGTCCAAGTTTATGTGACTTGCTTAGTCCAAGCAAGTGACTTGGGAACTCCCCGAGGGTCCAGAGATGTCTGAAGGCGTTCAGGCAGTATTGAGGACTTCAAAGAGGGATCAGGATTAGCTGTGAGCACACACAGGCATACAACAAAAACACCTGGTCTGGGGCCAGGACGACGGCCTGGCAGACACAGCGCCATGGGGAAGCCCCCAAGACAGACACAAACCCAAAAATGCTGGGCTTCAGCCGGAGATCTAGAGTTCTCTAGATACTAGCCCCTTTAAGCTCATCCTTACCATGTAAGCTGTGTGGAATGAGATCTAAGTAAATGTTAGAAGAAACGAAGCATAAATTGGCCAACACCATCCAAAACAAAGAGCAAACTCAGTCTGAAGATGTGTAGGTTCCTAAAGTCGGAAGGAATTCGACTTGTCTTGTCTTCCTAGTGTGACTCTACAGGACCATCCCGACTCCTCCCTACCCCAGCTGTATCAGAACCATTCCAAAGCGAGTATATTTCACAGAGAATATTCTAAGAGCCCAATGCAATACATATTTCCTTATAATTCCTTACAAGGGGTAGGATTGTAGGCAAATTACTCAACCCCCTTAGGACAATTTTCTCATCTGTAAAATCCTACCTGGCACAACTTAAATATTTAAATGAATATTTAAATAAATGTTCATTAAATGAATTTTGAAGTGCCTCTTTTTGGCTTAATTCCCTCCTTTTCTTTTTAGGGATGTGTGGATTTTATTGTCTTTTGCTTGTTTTCCTATTGTGCACAGCATTTACTCCTGGCTCTGTGCTCGGGGGTCCATATGGGGTGCTAGGGATCAGACATGTGCTGGGTGTGTACACAGCAGTGCCCTGCCTGCTGTACCATCTTTCCAGCCCCAGGAGGGGTGTACCCTAAGGGCCACACCCTGAAACGCCCAGGGACCACCCTGGCTGTACTGGAAGGGGACCCGGGTGCTGGGGACCAAGCCCAGGCCTGCAGCACACCAGGCACACACTCAGCCGCTGCGCTCGCCTGCCTCTCTCCTCCGCTCCAGCCTTCTCTTCACTCTCTTCGCTCCTCCATTCTGCCTCTTTCCTTGCTTCTGTTTCCAAACAGCAGAATATGTGAGTTAAAGACGTGAAAATGTGGGGGCTGGAGCGAAAGCACAGCGGGTAGGGTGTCTGCCTTGCATGCAGCCAACCCGGGTTCGATTCCCAGCATCCCATATGGTCTCCCGAGCACTGCCAGGAGTAATTCCTGAGTGCATGAGCCAGGAGTAACCCCTGTGCATCGCCGGGTGTGACCCAAAAAGCAAAAATAAATAAATAAAGACGTGAAAATGTGATGACTTGACTTCTTCAGCAGCTGGAATCCTTTCACCTACTTAACCACTTGGCTCCAGCTTATATATGTCACTTACATTTCTAGAGCCTTTTCCAGAAAGGTTTGGCCTATAATAAATAATTTTGTTCCTCACAGAATCTAATAGCAAAACAAATGCTAATCAAACAAAATACAAAGACACTCTTTCCTGTACAAAAATATACTTTCAAAAACTCAAGAACATTCTTTTTTTAACCATCCAGATAATTCTTTTCTCTCTTCTCTCTCTCTCTCTCTCTCTCTCTCTCTCTCTCTCTCTCTCTCTCTGAGATACACAGTTACATTTTCATTTCATTTCATCATCCTGTTAATCGTCGATTGCCTCGAGCAGGCCCCAGTAACGTCTCTTTCATCCTAGCCCTGAGATTATATTCAAAGCTCTTTAGGAGAATGAGACCCATCATTGTTACTGGTATTTGGCATATTTGGTGGGCCACGGGGAGTTTGCCAGACTCTGCCCTGTGGGCAGGCTACATTCGATAGCCTGCAAGTTTGTCCAAAGTAGGAATGAGATAATAAGATGTCGCGCGGCCGCAAATGCGGCCGCGCGGTTCCGGGATCTGGATTTTATAGTCTCTGAGTCTTGGCCGCTGATGGGATTACACGGCGCCAGGGGGCCAGGTGGTGGGTGTGACCCCCGCCTACTGGAATTTGGAGGATCTGGGTGGAAGATGCTCGACTCCAAATCGAGTAGGCTTGGAGGTCTCGGCCCCGGAACCCGCGTGGCTTTGTCCCTCTGCCAGTACCTTCAGGTGTGCGGAGAGTGGTCTCAGCATGGTGGTGGCTGGTCCTGGAGGTCTTCGGCTGCCGTAGCCCTGGTCGGGGCGGGGAGGAAAGCTCGACCCGCTCCCCTCCAAGGGACTCCGGGAAGGAACACCCAGGCGCGGGGGCAGAGACAAAGTTACAAAGTTACAAAATTCTTGATAAGGTTTCCACCATAAAATATTCCACCAACAACTCAAGACTGTTCTGATTAATTTACTTCAATTTATTTTATCTTAGCTCTGTAGCATTTAAGCTTTGAAAACTGTGATTCTGGGGACTGAATTTAGGGCCTGTGCATTCAGGGCTTCTACACACTCAGGGAGACAAGTGCTCTCCACTGAGCCAGACCCTTGCTCAGAGCTATCTGTCTGGTTTCCCTTCTGTGGGGAGAAGCCAGGCTGGGTAGCCTACCGAGTGGTGCTATGGTGCTAATCCTGACTCACTGCTAGGGGTTGAATCCCGGCCTCCCACATGCAAAGCATGAGCTCAGTCCTTCAAGTTATCGATTCTTAGAGCCTATCTTTCTTTTTCAAATTAACTATAAAGTTTTTCATTGGTGGAAGTTTTTTGTGGTGCCAGGGATTAAACCCGAAGTTTTTTTTGTTTGTTTGTTTGTTTTTAATGAAAACTGCAGAATTAAAACTTTGAGAGCTTTTAGGGGCTGGAGTGATAGCACAGCGGGTAGAGTGTTTGCCTTGCATGCGGCCGACCCAGGTTTGATTCCCAGCATCCCATATGGTCCCCCAGGCACCGCCAGGGGTAATTCCTGAGTGCATGAACCAGGAGTAACCCCTGTGCATCGCCGGGTGTGACCCAAAAAGAAAAAAAAAAACACAAAACTTTGAGAGCTTTTGCCTTTGGAAAGCAGAAGGTGTCTAATATTGATCTACAGTCACATGTGTCTAGCCAAGGGTCCCTCCCTAGCTTTTTCCCCACTTCCCTCACCTTATGGCTGCTGCCCCTTTGGTGGCAAGGGGTGGCGGTCACTGGTTGTGGTGCTGGCACAGTGCTCACTGTGGCTGCACACACGTGTTACAGGGGCACATCTTGGCCCCTCCCTGTAGCTGCAGGCTTGCACACGCCTGCTGTGCCCTGGGGACCATAGGAACCCCAGACAGAAGCGCCCTGGGCCATGCCAAGACACCCAGGAGGCAGCAGTGGTTGAACTTGAGGACTCCTGTAGGATAATGTTGGTTTGCCCTTCCTCCCTGGCCTTGGGGAGCTTGGGTT